GATGAGTAAAGGAATCATAAGAGGAACTGACATTCAAGAATTACAAGGGACGCTTTTAACCGCCAGAGCTTTTGTAGAGCAGTCGATAACTTACTTACGCCTGTTACTCCTCGCGAAGGAGCATAGGCCGCTCACCAGCATTCTCCATCCAACCCTGTCCTGGGCAATCCTTTCTAGCTGTTTCCAGTTGTTATCCATCCCTTTCAGATCCGCTTCTATTTCCCGACGTAATCTGTTCTTTGGCCTTCCTCTTTTCCTCTTCCCTTCAGGATTTCAAGTTAGGGCGTGCCTGGTGATGCAATTTGATGATTTGCGTATTGTATGTCCGATCCATTTCCATCGTCTTTTGCTAATTTCCTCTTCAGCTGGAAGCTGGTTTGTTCTCTCCCACAGAAGGCTATTGCTGATGGTATCCGGTCAATGGATGTTGAGTATCTTGCGTAGACAGCTATTGATAAATACTTGTACCTTCTTGATGGTGGTTGTTGTAGTTCTCCAAGTTTCATCTCCGTACAGTAGAACTGCGTTGACGTTCGTATTGAAGATTGTGACTTTGATATTGGTTGACAGTGGTTTTGAGTTCCATATGTTTTTTCAATGTAGGAATGCTGTCCTTGCTTTGCCAATCCTCGCCCTTACATCTGCATCTGATCCTCCTTGTTCATCGATGATGCTTCCCAGGTATGTGAAGGATTCTACATCTTCCAGAGTTTCTCCATCAAGAGTGATTGGATTGCTGTTCTCCATGTTGAATTTGAGGACCTTGGTTTTCCTCATGTGTATGTTGAGGCCTACTGATGCAGAGACTGCTGCTATGCTGGCTGCCTTCATCTGAATTTGTTCGTGTGTATGTGATAGGAGGGCTAGGTCATCTGCGAAGTCCAAATCGTCTAATTGGTTCTGAGCTGTCCATCGTTTGCCGTAGTTTCCCTCAGATGTCGAGGTCTTCGTAATCCAGTCGACCACCAGGAGAAACAGAAAGGGAGAGAGTAGACAGCCTTGTCTTACTCCGGTCCTTACTTGGAATGCGTCTGTCAGCTGTCCTCCGTGCACTACTTTGCACTGTAGTCCATCGTATGAGTTCCGGATAATGTTGACAATCTTCTCAGGAACTCCGTAGTGTCGAAGAAGTTTCCATAACGTTCTCCTATCTACACTGTCAAATGCCTTCTCATAATCAATGAAGTTGATGTAGAGTGACGAGTTCCACTCAATTGATTGTTCGACGATGATCCGTAGTGTCGCAATCTGGTCTGTGCACGACCGGTCCTTACGGAATCCAGCTTGCTGATCTCGAAGTTGAGCGTCAACTGCGTCTTTCATCCTGTTCAGTAACACTCTGTTGAAGACTTTACCCGGTATTGACAGTAGTGTAATGCCTCTGTAGTTTTCACACTTGCTCAGATCTCCTTTCTTTGGAATCTTGATGAGGTGTCCTTCTTTCCAATCCATCGGCACTTGTTCCTCCTCCCAAATCTTCTTGAATAGAAGATGAAGCATGTGTGTAGTTACTTCGATGTCTGACTTCAACGCTTCAGCTGGTATATTGTCAGGTCCTGCTGCTTTCCCGCTCTTGATTTGTCTGACGGCCATTCTGATTTCTGTCGTTGGTGGATTGACATTTATAGGAAGATCTGTGTGTGCTGCTTCGATGTCCGGTGGATTCATTGGAGCCGGTCTGTTCAGGAGTTCCTCGAAGTACTCTGCCCATCTGTTGCGCTGTTGTTGAATCTCAGTGATTGGTCTTCCTTCTTTGTCTTTGACTGGTCTCTCTGGTTTACTGTATTTCCCTGCAAGCTTCTTCGTCGTATCGTAAAGCTGTCTCATATTTCCTTCTCTTGCTAGTTCTTCCACGTATTTTTGCTTATCAGCTCTAATGCTCTTCTTCACTTTCTTGTTTGCTTCTATGTACTCTGCTTGTGCTTGGACTTTCTCTGCTCTTGTTCGACTGTCGTTAATTGCTGTCTTCTTGTTCTTTCTTTCTTTGATCCTGTCCAGTGTTTCTGTAGAGATCCATTCCTTGCGATGATGCTTCTTGGGGCCCAGAACCTCTTGACACGTTGAAGGTAATGTTTCTTTGATACCTTTCCAGCTATCCTCCATAGTAGTTTCTTCTTCCTTCAGTAGATCCTGTAAGGCTTGGAACCTGTTGTTGAGAGCTACCTTGAATTCATTGAGTTTGTCAGTATCTCGAAGGAAGGCTGTATTGAACCTTTGTGGTGCTGTTTGTCCAGTTGTCCAGTTCTTCTTTAGCTTCAGTTTCAGTTTGGCTACAACCAGGTGATGATCTGAAGCTATGTCCGCTCCTCTCCTGGTTTTCACATCTTCCATTGTCCTTCGGAACTTTTTATTGATGCAAATATGATCTATCTGATTCTCTGTGATGTGGTCCGGTGAGATCCATGTAGCTTTGTGTATACGTTTGTGTGGAAATATTGTACCGCCTATGACCAATTTATTGAATGCACAAAAAGGGGTGCCGAATACATATGCACCACACAAGTCGCTTGATTTGTGTGTAGCCTGTGATACTGCCGGAGTGCCCAGACCCAAGCAGGTGGTTTTATTAGGGAACCATACCCGGAGCCTTCGATCTATAGGTCTAATACACAAGGCAGTAGGGCGACGTAAGGTGATGCAGTCCCATGGTAGCCGGTGACCAATAATTGGTTCACACGCCATTTGTCCTTTCAGGATTCTGGAGTACATGCTCACCATTGGTTTTGAATAAGGGTTTTCCAACTCCCCTAGGTGGACGCTTCATGTCTACCAACCCGGTTAAAGCGCCGGACATTCACTTTTCGTCCTCTCAATTTCGTAAACAACACTCCAGCCGCGAGAAGGCAGTGAGTAGAACTGTCCTGGCAGTGGCTATGTACACGTGGCCATGTGAGAGCATTTCGAGAGGGAGAGCTAACTCTCTCCACTCTCGACCGTATCAGCGGATTTAGGAGCACTTAAAAGGCCTGATAATTTTTATATGATGAATGGGTATTTCAAGGCCTATATCCTTTTATTGGCAAAATTTACATAAAAAGTAAATAAAGTTGTTGTTCAGATATTGATATTTTTTAATCAGATGTTTACGTTAAGAATTAATTAATTTGGAGATTTCTATCACCATAAACTATATTCTACTAGTGAAACACTGACAGTCAAGGATTATTGAATACTCGTCTATTCCTTGTCTAAAAGCCCTTTGCCAGTTATAATCTGGAAGCAAACTCATAGAGGTCCATGTTAAAATTTAACGACAACATAAGAGACGAATAAATGTTGTAATCCGCTGAATATTGAAATAAGCTACATTCCCAAACAGAAGAAGGTCTTATCTAAGAAGCTAGTTATCACTGCTCATTTTTACAAAAACACTATTAGTATAAAATTGAGGGTTTGAATAATTCTTTCTGGTTAGCGTTTTTTTAGCGAGTTAGTTTTCTACGAGATGGGGTCGCTAACCCCATGCCCAACCCTCCTCCTTTACCCGGGCTTAGGACCGGCAGTAGCCCCCCGAAAGGGACTCCAGGCGGAGTTTGAACGGTCGATAAGCTGACGATCAAAATTTGAAACACAGACTGCACAATCGGTCTTTCAACTGTCGAAACTGAGAACTACCAATAACAAGAGAGCAAAGATAACGGCAGGTGCAAGGATATGTGTGACTATCTCCATATTAACCATGTACATATGTTCCAGTTTGTATAGGTAAGCAAGTAAAACCGATTTTTCTTACTGTCTGGAAGAAAGTGTATTAATGGTCACACTTGACGGTTAGTACATGAAACGAAATAACCTTTCGATGTATCCAGTTATCATGGATTTCTTCTCACCGGAAACACAGAATTACATTAAAAAGCGTAAGCGAACAAACAGTATGCGAAGAATATTGCGTACGTTTTTAGTGCTCCGGATGTATAGAACAGAACTTCCCTATCCAAGAACCTTAAGTTACGTGATAACCTTATGAGTGATCCCTGGAACTCGCATGCAGAAACCAAGTGTGGTTATTCACTTGACCTCAGCCAGCAAATACACATTAAATCAATTAATTAAAGCAGATAGATTTCGGCACGATTGGTTACCAACAAAATGCACTACACAAACAAACCAACGGTAATGTAAAGAGGAAAGATTTATACAATCGATCAATAAATGGATAGGTAGAGTACTTAATGAGCCTCAGTCCAGTTTAAAAAAAACAGAGTTCCATTTAAGAGACGTCATCTCACTTTTGCGGACAATAAAATAGAGAGCTACAACAAAATCGTCACTATCTCATATTTTGAGCAATATTTGATGACGTTCCTAGCCACTGTCTCACAAATCCCAACCTGAGAGTCGTGACGGCAATACCACCATGCCGGTTTCCATGATAAAGTGCCATCGTACAGACTGACCACATCTGGGATATACTGCCATATCACATGGGCGATTTGATTTCAGGCTTCAGTATAAGACGGAGGAACGCCAAGTAGGAAGTGTAAAGTCGTGGTAACCACTTTCCGCACTTATGTAGATCACGATCATTTTCAGTCGAGCATGAACTTTGGACATGAATGTGGATTCGTACTTTGAACACTACGTAAGTGACTTTTTATGGGTTCAGAGACATATGTATAGAAATATGTTCGAGAGGAGTCAGCTCCATAATGGCACAACTGGAAAGGTGTTATGCAGCACAATCTCGGAAAGATGAGTGACCGAAATAAGCGTGAATGGTCTTGTTCCTTCGAATGAGAAACCAGGGCTTTCGAAGTCATCTGTAGACTTCTGTATCTATCAATCTGGTATAGGCACCAGAATCCCGATTTTTATTTTTATGTCACAAATACTACCCTGTCTTGTAAAGTGGCATCTCAAAACATGCACAGTGAAAAATGACGCTTTTAAGTATTATTTTTTTATTCACATCAACACCAATTAAAGCATTGCAAAAAAGATACTTATTGTTGGAACAACGTATATAAAATACATGCGATGGGTTATTAACAGTGCAATAATTACAATTTTTCATAAGTCGATTTGTAATTACACTCAATACAGCATTTATAGTAAATATCTGACTTAGAATTATATTTCTCCGGTCCGAACGTATGTTCATGAGATTTGTGCACTCTCGTATATAAGCTACTGCGTGTTTGAAGTTTCAGTTCTAAAATGAAAAGAGCAAACGTTTTGTAGTAAACACCCAAAGACCTTAATAAAAACTAATCACATTCGCAGGATAATGTTCCAAAACGATGCAGGTTACTGCATGACTCTCCACCTAACAACATCTACAAAGTAACCATAGTGAGTAGATAAGTGTCATTACCAAGGTTTGACGTGATAACATCAAGTAAATTGAGTATTGCGTAGATTGTTATAAATAAACATAATTTATTTGCGATATCTCAATGAGTAGAAGAGTTAAACTTTAGATTTTCTAAAGTTTCATGAATCAATTTGAACCGATTATCCAGAGAATAGATAAACAGGTTAAACTAAACGGAGGTTCAGTAGTAAAAGAAAGAATATTCAATGAGATCAATAGAAAACAGGTATAACCAAATAAATCTCATATCATTCCAGTCAAGGTGATTTATATGGGGCATGTTTGCATATTTGTAATGGAATAATTTACATTGTAGATGATATTCGGTTTTTCTTGTCATCTCTTCCTTTGGTTTACATAGTATTGGTTGAAGTGATTTTGTTGATGGGTGCTGCACATATTCCAAAAGGCTCTACTTTCGGCATCTACATAGATGTCTAATAAGAAGCAGCTATCTTTTAGGTTAGGGTTTACGTTGTCGAAAACAAGGTTTGAAGAAGTAGATGAGTTCACCTTAGAGGTTGAGGGAACAATATTTTCAGCAATTGAATTATGTTTCTTCTGAGCTGTTGGTTTGTACTTCATTTTCCTGGTCCTTGCCATCGTTAGACCAAACTAACGGAACCGAATTTGGACAAGAGTTCGTCACTCAGAAGATTCGAACCAATTTGAACCAAAGTTGGGAACTGCTAAGTCTATCGAAGAGACCAATTCACCCAATTGAGATTCGCGCAAAATCGAAGTTCACAAAGTAACGATTTGTCTAAAATAGAGGTTCTCAATTTGTGAGGTGTCTACTGCGTCCTTTCGTCTGAAATAAAAAGGGCTTCAATAGTGATAAGTCAGTTGTTAGCTGTGTCTAGACTTGGTAACAGCTTATCAACAAGCAAAAGCCGAACCAAGAGAGAATATGGGAACCGTTGCGTTTAAACAACGGTTAAGCAAATACAAAAATTGTGAATATCTGCTAAAGTGATTGGGATACAGTAATTATAATGATAAATACAATAAATGTTATAAGTATATGTAAATATTTCAGGACAAACTTGCGTTACAACATAAAAATAAATAAATAATATCTACCCAATGTTCAATTTATTCGAAATTATCAAATCAAATCTTGGTAATGATACCTATAAGCGTAAAAGTTGCTAGGAATACAACTATTTACTGAATATTGATAAGTAGTATAAATCAATACACAAAAGAGTCGAAGGGAAGTGAGTAAGGACAGAGAACGTAAAACAGACTTAACATACCAAATATAAAAGGTATATCAGAAATTACGAGATTATTGGAGCCTTTTGGAATATGTGCAGCGCACAAACCAACAAAATCACTTCAATAAACCCTATGCAAACCAAAGGAAGAAAAACCTAATGTCATCTGCAAAATAAATTATTCTAACTGCGGAAAACACTATCCGACACTGCGGACGCCTTCTTCATCTTCGTCTGCATGAACATCAATTAGCGGTCAAACGACATAACGCATTCTCACTTACATCAATGCATGTGGATATACATTTGACTGGAAATATGTTGAGATCTTGGACAGAGGGAATTCTAAAAACAACATAATTTTTAGGAGCTTGGCACTCAGGTCAATCAGCAATCAATACACAGATTGGAATAGTCACAATTTATCAATCAATCAGAGAAATCATAGACACGCATCATAATATTGTGAAATACAATCAGAATAAAGAAGTAAACAATGACAGGTTAAAGGCCTACAATAACCGATTAAGATCGAGGTCTACAGGGCAAGCTGAGAGTCATATGTGGAGAAATCCGAATAACTTACTTCTACATGAAGTTTGTGCTGGTGATGTCGTTCAAAAGAACAATGGAAGTTCCAAAACCAAACCATGCAGCTCAGAGAACAAAACTTCGTCAAAATCATTCACCTGTACTACAAATCTTCTCCACCATCTCAAAGTAGTGACTACTCCATGACTAATTAACTCAATGTATTTCAAACGAATTAATCAGTATACTTTGAACGAATTGGGAATCCCTAATACTTACCTTTAACCTTTTTACTATAACTTTTAAGTTTCGATTGTTCATTGCGCTTAAAGCGCTTTTCACGTTCTTTTTCTAATGCATCTTCACTACCCCAGATTTCTAGAGCACGTTCAGCAATCTGAATTTTACGAAATTAGAAAGTAAGATACTTTTAACAATACTCATAATCGATTTCCTAGTGACGAAATTCACTATTTTACAACAATCTGAGGTATCAAATGATTGAGGTGTATTGGTATTAAATTGCTCACTGGCCAGACAAGTATTGTTAGCAAATCACATAACTACACAAAACGATGGGAGTTAAAAGGCAGAACATGGGATAGATCAGTCTTATGTGGTAAACAGATATATAAATTAAGCATTTAACAATAGTCATTAATATTTTTATTTGAGAAGCAAGTTGTTGCTGAACAAAACTTTGATAGTGATTTAATAAAACCGTAAACTTAAAAGCTCTTTATTTATTTGAACATATAAATATCGGTACAAAGGGGTGCCGAATACATATGCACCACACAAGTCGCTTGATTTGTGTGTAGCCTGTGATACTGCCGGAGTGCCCAGACCCAAGCAGGTGGTTTTATTAGGGAACCATACCCGGAGCCTTCGATCTATAGGTCTAATACACAAGGCAGTAGGGCGACGTAAGGTGATGCAGTCCCATGGTAGCCGGTGACCAATAATTGGTTCACACGCCATTTGTCCTTTCAGGATTCTGGAGTACATGCTCACCATTGGTTTTGAATAAGGGTTTTCCAACTCCCCTAGGTGGACGCTTCATGTCTACCAACCCGGTTAAAGCGCCGGACATTCACTTTTCGTCCTCTCAATTTCGTAAACAACACTCCAGCCGCGAGAAGGCAGTGAGTAGAACTGTCCTGGCAGTGGCTATGTACACGTGGCCATGTGAGAGCATTTCGAGAGGGAGAGCTAACTCTCTCCACTCTCGACCGTATCAGCGGATTTAGGAGCACTTAAAAGGCCTGATAATTTTTATATGATGAATGGGTATTTCAAGGCCTATATCCTTTTATTGGCAAAATTTACATAAAAAGTAAATAAAGTTGTTGTTCAGATATTGATATTTTTTAATCAGATGTTTACGTTAAGAATTAATTAATTTGGAGATTTCTATCACCATAAACTATATTCTACTAGTGAAACACTGACAGTCAAGGATTATTGAATACTCGTCTATTCCTTGTCTAAAAGCCCTTTGCCAGTTATAATCTGGAAGCAAACTCATAGAGGTCCATGTTAAAATTTAACGACAACATAAGAGACGAATAAATGTTGTAATCCGCTGAATATTGAAATAAGCTACATTCCCAAACAGAAGAAGGTCTTATCTAAGAAGCTAGTTATCACTGCTCATTTTTACAAAAACACTATTAGTAGAAAATTGAAGGTTTGAATAATTCTTTCTGGTTAGCGTTTTTTTAGCGAGTTAGTTTTCTACGAGATGGGGTCGCTAACCCCATGCCCAACCCTCCTCCTTTACCCGGGCTTGGGACCGGCAGTTGCCCCCCGAAAGGGACTCCAGGCGGAGTTTGAACGGTCGATAAGCTGACGATCAAAATTTGAAACACAGACTGCACAATCGGTCTTTCAACTGTCGAAACTGAGAACTACCAATAACAAGAGAGCAAAGATAACGGCAGGTGCAAGGATATGTGTGACTATCTCCATATTAACCATGTACATATGTTCCAGTTTGTATAGGTAAGCAAGTAAAACCGATTTTTCTTACTGTCTGGAAGAAAGTGTATTAATGGTCACACTTGACGGTTAGTACATGAAACGAAATAACCTTTCGATGTATCCAGTTATCATGGATTTCTTCTCACCGGAAACACAGAATTACATTAAAAAGCGTAAGCGAACAAACAGTATGCGAAGAATATTGCGTACGTTTTTAGTGCTCCGGATGTATAGAACAGAACTTCCCTATCCAAGAACCTTAAGTTACGTGATAACCTTATGAGTGATCCCTGGAACTCGCATGCAGAAACCAAGTGTGGTTATTCACTTGACCTCAGCCAGCAAATACACATTAAATCAATTAATTAAAGCAGATAGATTTCGGCACGATTGGTTACCAACAAAATGCACTACACAAACAAACCAACGGTAATGTAAAGAGGAAAGATTTATACAATCGATCAATAAATGGATAGGTAGAGTACTTAATGAGCCTCAGTCCAGTTTAAAAAAAACAGAGTTCCATTTAAGAGACGTCATCTCACTTTTGCGGACAATAAAATAGAGAGCTACAACAAAATCGTCACTATCTCATATTTTGAGCAATATTTGATGACGTTCCTAGCCACTGTCTCACAAATCCCAACCTGAGAGTCGTGACGGCAATACCACCATGCCGGTTTCCATGATAAAGTGCCATCGTACAGACTGACCACATCTGGGATATACTGCCATATCACATGGGCGATTTGATTTCAGGCTTCAGTATAAGACGGAGGAACGCCAAGTAGGAAGTGTAAAGTCGTGGTAACCACTTTCCGCACTTATGTAGATCACGATCATTTTCAGTCGAGCATGAACTTTGGACATGAATGTGGATTCGTACTTTGAACACTACGTAAGTGACTTTTTATGGGTTCAGAGACATATGTATAGAAATATGTTCGAGAGGAGTCAGCTCCATAATGGCACAACTGGAAAGGTGTTATGCAGCACAATCTCGGAAAGATGAGTGACCGTAATAAGCGTGAATGGTCTTGTTCCTTCGAATGAGAAACCAGGGCTTTCGAAGTCATCTGTAGACTTCTGTATCTATCAATCTGGTATAGGCACCAGAATCCCGATTTTTATTTTTATGTCACAAATACTACCCTGTCTTGTAAAGTGGCATCTCAAAACATGCACAGTGAAAAATGACGCTTTTAAGTATTATTTTTTTATTCACATCAACACCAATTAAAGCATTGCAAAAAAGATACTTATTGTTGGAACAACGTATATAAAATACATGCGATGGGTTATTAACAGTGCAATAATTACAATTTTTCATAAGTCGATTTGTAATTACACTCAATACAGCATTTATAGTAAATATCTGACTTAGAATTATATTTCTCCGGTCCGAACGTATGTTCATGAGATTTGTGCACTCTCGTATATAAGCTACTGCGTGTTTGAAGTTTCAGTTCTAAAATGAAAAGAGCAAACGTTTTGTAGTAAACACCCAAAGACCTTAATAAAAACTAATCACATTCGCAGGATAATGTTCCAAAACGATGCAGGTTACTGCATGACTCTCCACCTAACAACATCTACAAAGTAACCATAGTGAGTAGATAAGTGTCATTACCAAGGTTTGACGTGATAACATCAAGTAAATTGAGTATTGCGTAGATTGTTATAAATAAACATAATTTATTTGCGATATCTCAATGAGTAGAAGAGTTAAACTTTAGATTTTCTAAAGTTTCATGAATCAATTTGAACCGATTATCCAGAGAATAGATAAACAGGTTAAACTAAACGGAGGTTCAGTAGTAAAAGAAAGAATATTCAATGAGATCAATAGAAAACAGGTATAACCAAATAAATCTCATATCATTCCAGTCAAGGTGATTTATATGGGGCATGTTTGCATATTTGTAATGGAATAATTTACATTGTAGATGATATTCGGTTTTTCTTGTCATCTCTTCCTTTGGTTTACATAGTATTGGTTGAAGTGATTTTGTTGATGGGTGCTGCACATATTCCAAAAGGCTCTACTTTCGGCATCTACATAGATGTCTAATAAGAAGCAGCTATCTTTTAGGTTAGGGTTTACGTTGTCGAAAACAAGGTTTGAAGAAGTAGATGAGTTCACCTTAGAGGTTGAGGGAACAATATTTTCAGCAATTGAATTATGTTTCTTCTGAGCTGTTGGTTTGTACTTCATTTTCCTGGTCCTTGCCATCGTTAGACCAAACTAACGGAACCGAATTTGGACAAGAGTTCGTCACTCAGAAGATTCGAACCAATTTGAACCAAAGTTGGGAACTGCTAAGTCTATCGAAGAGACCAATTCACCCAATTGAGATTCGCGCAAAATCGAAGTTCACAAAGTAACGATTTGTCTAAAATAGAGGTTCTCAATTTGTGAGGTGTCTACTGCGTCCTTTCGTCTGAAATAAAAAGGGCTTCAATAGTGATAAGTCAGTTGTTAGCTGTGTCTAGACTTGGTAACAGCTTATCAACAAGCAAAAGCCGAACCAAGAGAGAATATGGGAACCGTTGCGTTTAAACAACGGTTAAGCAAATACAAAAATTGTGAATATCTGCTAAAGTGATTGGGATACAGTAATTATAATGATAAATACAATAAATGTTATAAGTATATGTAAATATTTCAGGACAAACTTGCGTTACAACATAAAAATAAATAAATAATATCTACCCAATGTTCAATTTATTCGAAATTATCAAATCAAATCTTGGTAATGATACCTATAAGCGTAAAAGTTGCTAGGAATACAACTATTTACTGAATATTGATAAGTAGTATAAATCAATACACAAAAGAGTCGAAGGGAAGTGAGTAAGGACAGAGAACGTAAAACAGACTTAACATACCAAATATAAAAGGTATATCAGAAATTACGAGATTATTGGAGCCTTTTGGAATATGTGCAGCGCACAAACCAACAAAATCACTTCAATAAACCCTATGCAAACCAAAGGAAGAAAAACCTAATGTCATCTGCAAAATAAATTATTCTAACTGCGGAAAACACTATCCGACACTGCGGACGCCTTCTTCATCTTCGTCTGCATGAACATCAATTAGCGGTCAAACGACATAACGCATTCTCACTTACATCAATGCATGTGGATATACATTTGACTGGAAATATGTTGAGATCTTGGACAGAGGGAATTCTAAAAACAACATAATTTTTAGGAGCTTGGCACTCAGGTCAATCAGCAATCAATACACAGATTGGAATAGTCACAATTTATCAATCAATCAGAGAAATCATAGACACGCATCATAATATTGTGAAATACAATCAGAATAAAGAAGTAAACAATGACAGGTTAAAGGCCTACAATAACCGATTAAGATCGAGGTCTACAGGGCAAGCTGAGAGTCATATGTGGAGAAATCCGAATAACTTACTTCTACATGAAGTTTGTGCTGGTGATGTCGTTCAAAAGAACAATGGAAGTTCCAAAACCAAACCATGCAGCTCAGAGAACAAAACTTCGTCAAAATCATTCACCTGTACTACAAATCTTCTCCACCATCTCAAAGTAGTGACTACTCCATGACTAATTAACTCAATGTATTTCAAACGAATTAATCAGTATACTTTGAACGAATTGGGAATCCCTAATACTTACCTTTAACCTTTTTACTATAACTTTTAAGTTTCGATTGTTCATTGCGCTTAAAGCGCTTTTCACGTTCTTTTTCTAATGCATCTTCACTACCCCAGATTTCTAGAGCACGTTCAGCAATCTGAATTTTACGAAATTAGAAAGTAAGATACTTTTAACAATACTCATAATCGATTTCCTAGTGACGAAATTCACTATTTTACAACAATCTGAGGTATCAAATGATTGAGGTGTATTGGTATTAAATTGCTCACTGGCCAGACAAGTATTGTTAGCAAATCACATAACTACACAAAACGATGGGAGTTAAAAGGCAGAACATGGGATAGATCAGTCTTATGTGGTAAACAGATATATAAATTAAGCATTTAACAATAGTCATTAATATTTTTATTTGAGAAGCAAGTTGTTGCTGAACAAAACTTTGATAGTGATTTAATAAAACCGTAAACTTAAAAGCTCTTTATTTATTTGAACATATAAATATCGGTACAAAGGGGTGCCGAATACATATGCACCACACAAGTCGCTTGATTTGTGTGTAGCCTGTGATACTGCCGGAGTGCCCAGACCCAAGCAGGTGGTTTTATTAGGGAACCATACCCGGAGCCTTCGATCTATAGGTCTAATACACAAGGCAGTAGGGCGACGTAAGGTGATGCAGTCCCATGGTAGCCGGTGACCAATAATTGGTTCACACGCCATTTGTCCTTTCAGGATTCTGGAGTACATGCTCACCATTGGTTTTGAATAAGGGTTTTCCAACTCCCCTAGGTGGACGCTTCATGTCTACCAACCCGGTTAAAGCGCCGGACATTCACTTTTCGTCCTCTCAATTTCGTAAACAACACTCCAGCCGCGAGAAGGCAGTGAGTAGAACTGTCCTGGCAGTGGCTATGTACACGTGGCCATGTGAGAGCATTTCGAGAGGGAGAGCTAACTCTCTCCACTCTCGACCGTATCAGCGGATTTAGGAGCACTTAAAAGGCCTGATAATTTTTATATGATGAATGGGTATTTCAAGGCCTATATCCTTTTATTGGCAAAATTTACATAAAAAGTAAATAAAGTTGTTGTTCAGATATTGATATTTTTTAATCAGATGTTTACGTTAAGAATTAATTAATTTGGAGATTTCTATCACCATAAACTATATTCTACTAGTGAAACACTGACAGTCAAGGATTATTGAATACTCGTCTATTCCTTGTCTAAAAGCCCTTTGCCAGTTATAATCTGGAAGCAAACTCATAGAGGTCCATGTTAAAATTTAACGACAACATAAGAGACGAATAAATGTTGTAATCTGCTGAATATTGAAATAAGCTACATTCCCAAACAGAAGAAGGTCTTATCTAAGAAGCTAGTTATCACTGCTCATTTTTACAAAAACACTATTAGTAGAAAATTGAAGGTTTGAATAATTCTTTCTGGTTAGCGTTTTTTTAGCGAGTTAGTTTTCTACGAGATGGGGTCGCTAACCCCATGCCCAACCCTCCTCCTTTACCCGGGCTTGGGACCGGCAGTTGCCCCCCGAAAGGGACTCCAGGCGGAGTTTGAACGGTCGATAAGCTGACGATCAAAATTTGAAACACAGACTGCACAATCGGTCTTTCAACTGTCGAAACTGAGAACTACCAATAACAAGAGAGCAAAGATAACGGCAGGTGCAAGGATATGTGTGACTATCTCCATATTAACCATGTACATATGTTCCAGTTTGTATAGGTAAGCAAGTAAAACCGATTTTTCTTACTGTCTGGAAGAAAGCGTATTAATGGTCACACTTGACGGTTAGTACATGAAACGAAATAACCTTTCGATGTATCCAGTTATCATGGATTTCTTCTCACCGGAAACACAGAATTACATTAAAAAGCGTAAGCGAACAAACAGTATGCGAAGAATATTGCGTACGTTTTTAGTGCTCCGGATGTATAGAACAGAACTTCCCTATCCAAGAACCTTAAGTTACGTGATAACCTTATGAGTGATCCCTGGAACTCGCATGCAGAAACCAAGTGTGGTTATTCACTTGACCTCAGCCAGCAAATACACATTAAATCAATTAATTAAAGCAGATAGATTTCGGCACGATTGGTTACCAACAAAATGCACTACACAAACAAACCAACGGTAATGTAAAGAGGAAAGATTTATACAATCGATCAATAAATGGATAGGTAGAGTACTTAATGAGCCTCAGTCCAGTTTAAAAAAAACAGAGTTCCATTTAAGAGACGTCATCTCACTTTTGCGGACAATAAAATAGAGAGCTACAACAAAATCGTCACTATCTCATATTTTGAGCAATATTTGATGACGTTCCTAGCCACTGTCTCACAAATCCCAACCTGAGAGTCGTGACGGCAATACCACCATGCCGGTTTCCATGATAAAGTGCCATCGTACAGACTGACCACATCTGGGATATACTGCCATATCACATGGGCGATTTGATTTCAGGCTTCAGTATAAGACGGAGGAACGCCAAGTAGGAAGTGTAAAGTCGTGGTAACCACTTTCCGCACTTATGTAGATCACGATCATTTTCAGTCGAGCATGAACTTTGGACATGAATGTGGATTCGTACTTTGAACACTACGTAAGTGACTTTTTATGGGTTCAGAGACATATGTATAGAAATATGTTCGAGAGGAGTCAGCTCCATAATGGCACAACTGGAAAGGTGTTATGCAGCACAATCTCGGAAAGATGAGTGACCGAAATAAGCGTGAATGGTCTTGTTCCTTCGAATGAGAAACCAGGGCTTTCGAAGTCATCTGTAGACTTCTGTATCTATCAATCTGGTATAGGCACCAGAATCCCGATTTTTATTTTTATGTCACAAATACTACCCTGTCTTGTAAAGTGGCATCTCAAAACATGCACAGTGAAAAATGACGCTTTTAAGTATTATTTTTTTTATTCACATCAACACCAATTAAAGCATTGCAAAAAAGATACTTATTGTTGGAACAACGTATATAAAATACATGCGATGGGTTATTAACAGTGCAATAACTACAATTTTTCATAAGTCGATTTGTAATTACACTCAATACAGCATTTATAGTAAATATCTGACTTAGAATTATATTTCTCCGGTCCGAACGTATGTTCATGAGATTTGTGCACTCTCGTATATAAGCTACTGCGTGTTTGAAGTTTCAGTTCTAAAATGAAAAGAGCAAACGTTTTGTAGTAAACACCCAAAGACCTTAATAAAAACTAATCACATTCGCAGGATAATGTTCCAAAACGATGCAGGTTACTGCATGACTCTCCACCTAACAACATCTACAAAGTAACCATAGTGAGTAGATAAGTGTCATTACCAAGGTTTGACGTGATAACATCAAGTAAATTGAGTATTGCGTAGATTGTTATAAATAAACATAATTTATTTGCGATATCTCAATGAGTAGAAGAGTTAAACTTTAGATTTTCTAAAGTTTCATGAATCAATTTGAACCGATTATCCAGAGAATAGATAAACAGGTTAAACTAAACGGAGGTTCAGTAGTAAAAGAAAGAATATTCAATGAGATCAATAGAAAACAGGTATAACCAAATAAATCTCATATCATTCCAGTCAAGGTGATTTATATGGGGCATGTTTGCATATTTGTAATGGAATAATTTACATTGTAGATGATATTCGGTTTTTCTTGTCATCTCTTCCTTTGGTTTACATAGTATTGGTTGAAGTGATTTTGTTGATGGGTGCTGCACATATTCCAAAAGGCTCTACTTTCGGCATCTACATAGATGTCTAATAAGAAGCAGCTATCTTTTAGGTTAGGGTTTACGTTGTCGAAAACAAGGTTTGAAGAAGTAGATGAGTTCACCTTAGAGGTTGAGGGAACAATATTTTCAGCAATTGAATTATGTTTCTTCTGAGCTGTTGGTTTGTACTTCATTTTCCTGGTCCTTGCCATCGTTAGACCAAACTAACGGAACCGAATTTGGACAAGAGTTCGTCACTCAGAAGATTCGAACCAATTTGAACCAAAGTTGGGAACTGCTAAGTCTATCGAAGAGACCAATTCACCCAATTGAGATTCGCGCAAAATCGAAGTTCACAAAGTAACGATTTGTCTAAAATAGAGGTTCTCAATTTGTGAGGTGTCTACTGCGTCCTTTCGTCTGAAATAAAAAGGGCTTCAATAGTGATAAGTCAGTTGTTAGCTGTGTCTAGACTTGGTAACAGCTTATCAACAAGCAAAAGCCGAACCAAGAGAGAATATGGGAACCGTTGCGTTTAAACAACGGTTAAGCAAATACAAAAATTGTGAATATCTGCTAAAGTGATTGGGATACAGTAATTATAATGATAAATACAATAAATGTTATAAGTATATGTAAATATTTCAGGACAAACTTGCGTTACAACATAAAAATAAATAAATAATATCTACCCAATGTTCAATTTATTCGAAATTATCAAATCAAATCTTGGTAATGATACCTATAAGCGTAAAAGTTGCTAGGAATACAACTATTTACTGAATATTGATAAGTAGTATAAATCAATACACAAAAGAGTCGAAGGGAAGTGAGTAAGGACAGAGAACGTAAAACAGACTTAACATACCAAATATAAAAGGTATATCAGAAATTACGAGATTATTGGAGCCTTTTGGAATATGTGCAGCGCACAAACCAACAAAATCACTTCAATAAACCCTATGCAAACCAAAGGAAGAAAAACCTAATGTCATCTGCAAAATAAATTATTCTAACTGCGGAAAACACTATCCGACACTGCGGACGCCTTCTTCATCTTCGTCTGCATGAACATCAATTAGCGGTCAAACGACATAACGCATTCTCACTTACATCAATGCATGTGGATATACATTTGACTGGAAATATGTTGAGATCTTGGACAGAGGGAATTCTAAAAACAACATAATTTTTAGGAGCTTGGCACTCAGGTCAATCAGCAATCAATACACAGATTGGAATAGTCACAATTTATCAATCAATCAGAGAAATCATAGACACGCATCATAATATTGTGAAATACAATCAGAATAAAGAAGTAAACAATGACAGGTTAAAGGCCTACAATAACCGATTAAGATCGAGGTCTACAGGGCAAGCTGAGAGTCATATGTGGAGAAATCCGAATAACTTACTTCTACATGAAGTTTGTGCTGGTGATGTCGTTCAAAAGAACAATGGAAGTTCCAAAACCAAACCATGCAGCTCAGAGAACAAAACTTCGTCAAAATCATTCACCTGTACTACAAATCTTCTCCACCATCTCAAAGTAGTGACTACTCCATGACTAATTAACTCAATGTATTTCAAACGAATTAATCAGTATACTTTGAACGAATTGGGAATCCCTAATACTTACCTTTAACCTTTTTACTATAACTTTTAAGTTTCGATTGTTCATTGCGCTTAAAGCGCTTTTCACGTTCTTTTTCTAATGCATCTTCACTACCCCAGATTTCTAGAGCACGTTCAGCAATCTGAATTTTACGAAATTAGAAAGTAAGATACTTTTAACAATACTCATAATCGATTTCCTAGTGACGAAATTCACTATTTTACAACAATCTGAGGTATCAAATGATTGAGGTGTATTGGTATTAAATTGCTCACTGGCCAGACAAGTATTGTTAGCAAATCACATAACTACACAAAACGATGGGAGTTAAAAGGCAGAACATGGGATAGATCAGTCTTATGTGGTAAACAGATATATAAATTAAGCATTTAACAATAGTCATTAATATTTTTATTTGAGAAGCAAGTTGTTGCTGAACAAAACTTTGATAGTGATTTAATAAAACCGTAAACTTAAAAGCTCTTTATTTATTTGAACATATAAATATCGGTACAAAGGGGTGCCGAATACATATGCACCACACAAGTCGCTTGATTTGTGTGTAGCCTGTGATACTGCCGGAGTGCCCAGACCCAAGCAGGTGGTTTTATTAGGGAACCATACCCGGAGCCTTCGATCTATAGGTCTAATACACAAGGCAGTAGGGCGACGTAAGGTGATGCAGTCCCATGGTAGCCGGTGACCAATAATTGGTTCACACGCCATTTGTCCTTTCAGGATTCTGGAGTACATGCTCACCATTGGTTTTGAATAAGGGTTTTCCAACTCCCCTAGGTGGACGCTTCATGTCTACCAACCCGGTTAAAGCGCCGGACATTCACTTTTCGTCCTCTCAATTTCGTAAACAACACTCCAGCCGCGAGAAGGCAGTGAGTAGAACTGTCCTGGCAGTGGCTATGTACACGTGGCCATGTGAGAGCATTTCGAGAGGGAGAGCTAACTCTCTCCACTCTCGACCGTATCAGCGGATTTAGGAGCACTTAAAAGGCCTGATAATTTTTATGTGATGAATGGGTATTTCAAGGCCTATATCCTTTTATTGGCAAAATTTACATAAAAAGTAAATAAAGTTGTTGTTCAGATATTGATATTTTTTAATCAGATGTTTACGTTAAGAATTAATTAATTTGGAGATTTCTATCACCATAAACTATATTCTACTAGTGAAACACTGACAGTCAAGGATTATTGAATACTCGTCTATTCCTTGTCTAAAAGCCCTTTGCCAGTTATAATCTGGAAGCAAACTCATAGAGGTCCATGTTAAAATTTAACGACAACATAAGAGACGAATAAATGTTGTAATCTGCTGAATATTGAAATAAGCTACATTCCCAAACAGAAGAAGGTCTTATCTAAGAAGCTAGTTATCACTGCTCATTTTTACAAAAACACTATTAGTAGAAAATTGAAGGTTTGAATAATTCTTTCTGGTTAGCGTTTTTTTAGCGAGTTAGTTTTCTACGAGATGGGGTCGCTAACCCCATGCCCAACCCTCCTCCTTTATCCGGGCTTGGGACCGGCAGTAGCCCCCGGAAAGGGGCTCCAGGAATTCATACAGTATTCCTATGATGGATTAAACTGCAAAATCGTGCATGGAGGACAGTTGACAAAGTCGTTCGAAGTAAAGACCGGTGTCAGGCAAGGTTGCTTACTCTCACCCTTTCTCTTTCTCCTGGTGATCGACTGGATCATGAAGACATCAACATCTGAAGGGAAGCACGGGATACAGTGGATAGCTAGGATGCAATTGGATGATCTAGACTTTGCAGATGATCTGGCTCTTCTATCGCATACACAACAACAAATGCAGGAGAAGACAACCAGTGTAGCTGCAGCCTCAGCAGCAATAGGTCTCAATATACACAAAGGGAAAAGCAAGATTCTTCGATACAACACAACATGTACCAATCCAATCACAATTGACGGAGAAGCTTTGGAAGATGTAAAAACCTTTACATATTTGGGCAGTATCATCGATGAACACGGTGGATCTGATGCAGATGTGAAGGCACGGATTGGCAAAGCAAGAGCAGCATATCTACAACTGAAGAATATCTGGAACTCAAAACAATTAGCAACCAACACCAAAGTCAGAATTTTCAATACAAATGTCAAAACAGTTCTACTGTATGGGGCGGAAACCTGGAAAACTACGAAATCCATCGTCCAAAAGATACAGGTGTTTATTAACAGTTGTCTACGCAAAATACTTCAGATCCGCTGGTCGGACACTATAAGCAGCAACCTACTGTGGGAGAGAACAAATCAGATCCCAGTGGAGGAAGAAATCAGGAAGAAGCGCTGGAAGTGGATAGGACACACATTGAGGAAAACACCCAACTGCGTCACAAGACAAGCCCTCATATGGAATCCTCAAGGTCGAAGGAGAGGAAGACCAAAGGATACAGTACGCCGGGAAATGGAGATAGATATGAGAAAAATGAACAAGAATTGGATGGAACTAGAAAAGAAGACCCAGGACAGAGTGGGTTGGAGAATGCTGGTCGGCGGCCTATGCTCCATTGGGAGTAACAGGCGTAAGTAAGTAAGTAAGTAAGAAAATTGAAGAATCTTATCAGACAGTCTTTTTTTCTACAAACATCTTCAATCGTATACCTCCATTAAAATGCAGAATATGATGCACAATGTTACTAACAATAGTTGAGAACGAGTAACATTTTAACATACGAATAAAAATATAAAAAATCCAATGATAAATATAATAAGCTTTTAACACAGTTATTGTTACTTGTGCTTCCAAATACAGCCTCATATCTCCCCAACTTGAATTGTGTGGATTGCGTTTCAACAAATAGTTTAATTTCGGTTCACGTATGTCTAAATCAACATCATTCAGTAAATAACGTTCTTTTGCTGAACTCTTAGTAATTAAAGCATGAATATTTTTAGGATCTCTAGACAAAAATATAGGAGAAAATATGAGATTAAATAATAAATTGAATAAATAAAATAACTGAAGTAAATAATATTTAGAAGTTACTCTGATATTACAATCTAAAAGACTAAACCATCAATAATATTCAAACTTTCGTATTTCACAACTAGTTATGTTTTTTAAATTAACTATGAATGACAATTGTTTGTGTCACAGAATTGGTAGATAAAATCACGGATCAGTCACTTATAAACCGTATAAAACTATTACACATTTAATTAATTGCTTATATTTCTCAGTAATAAACTTTTGATTTTGACGGTCTGTATACATACTAATCAATAAGGGGATTAAAATTCTTAAGATCGCCTGAGAATCGTTCAAGTTCAGCAGTACAACAAGTATAAATTTGCCATCAGAATTTAAAAATAGTAAATCAACCACTCATTCTATCTTAGCTGAGTAGATATATATACTAATGAGTATTACTGTTTTCACTAATAATCTAGCCCAACATCTATAACATTGCCTATAACCTACTGAACACTTACAGAATGGTGGTCATTTTTGAGTGAGGATGTTTGACAAAGGTATATGTCCGATCATTGTCGTCTTGAAAGTATTGTCTGCCCCGAATGCCAAGATTGTCTTTCGATACAGCTAAAATAATTATTTAATAGATGTTTCTACATATAAATCTGGGTTTTGGTGGTCTAGATGTAGTTTTAGCCGTACTTATTACCTAATGAGAGCTAGTAGAAGATATAGGAAATCACCTGATAATATTAAATAAAATACTGCTGTATTAGGCCAATATTAGTTATCGAAATCCTTATGAGTGGCCTATGCTCTTCCACGAAGGGTAACATACATAAGTAAGTAATTAGTTAACGAAACAAAACTTCCTGGATGGGGTCTTGCATAATGTAAACATTACTGGCTTGTAGCGCTATCATAAATGGTTTAGAATGAACATAAGTATATCAGTGCTCCTGCAATTTATTTCTCAGTAAAGTGTGACTTAGGAAGAATAAAATATAACTTAGTTGTATTCTAAAGTGGATTGTATTCAGTTAATGAAAATAACCCATAGTGTCATTGAATAAGATTATTATTATTATTATTATTTGAACACATAAATATTGGTACAGGGGGCAACAAATATATATGCGCCACACAAAACAATGATAAATTGAAGAGAAGGAGAAAAGAGAAAAAAAAAGCAATGAACGTGGGGAATTATAAAAAAACAGAGAGAGAGAGAGAGAGAACAATGGTGGGGGAAACGGAAAGGTACAATCAGAAGAGATCTTACAGTTAACTGAGATACAAACACTTTTTATGAAGAAAGTAAAAGAAGGTTACAGCAGAATAGCCACTGGCTTCTATTCTAAGCCATATCTGATAACGTCTCTAGCCACTGTGTTACACCGTCTCTCGGACCCCAACCAGGGTGTCGTGAAGGACCAACACAAGCCAGCCCTTTGCAGCTTTCTTTCATACCACGACACCATGTCATATACTGACCACCTCTCCGCTTTTTCCAACCGGTCCCAGAGTCGGCAAATAATGCACGACGTGGAATTCTCTGGGATGACATTCGTAGAACATGTCCAAGCCACCGAAGTCGGTGTTTCAAGATGGTGACACCAATTGGATTTTTGTCTCTGTGCCCGAACACACGATGCCGAACCTCTGCATTACTGACATGGTGTTGCCACTGGATGTCAGCAATCCTTCGGAGACAACGATGATCGAACACAGAGAGTCGTCTAACATCCTCAACTCGGAGAGGCCAGGTTTCACGAGCATAGAGCAAAACTACTTTCACCGATGCGTTGTAGATCCGACCTTTTACAGTGAGACTGACATCACGAAGGCGCCAAAGATGGCCCAGATTGGCATAAGCCGCTCTGGCTTTCACTATACGTGCATTGATCTCATCACTCACGCCACCACCAGCACTTATGCAGCTACCTAGATACACGAACTTCTCGACTACTTCTATCTGATCACCATCCAGAGTGAGTACAGGATTAGAATCCTGCCAGTCTTGTAGAAGAACTTTGCACTTCGAAGGTGCAAAGCACATACCATACCTACAGACATTGATTGCCAACTGATTGAGTGCGGATTGCATGGCTTGGGCATTCTCGCGCAGTAGGACAATATCATCCACATACTCAAGGTCGAGAAGTCTTTCTCCAGGCAACAGATCTACACCACCATTACTCACATCCGTCAGAGCTGTTTCCAGAATGTCATCGATGGCAAAGTTGAAGAGGAATGGTGAGATTGGGCAACCCTGCCTAACTCCACTGCTTGAATGGAATAGTGGAGAAAGGTGGTTGTATGCCCTCACTCTGCCTGAGGTGTTTGTGTATAGGGCTTTTAGGATGTTAATAAACTTCTCAGGCACACCCTTCTTCAATAGACAATCCCAGAGAACAGTTCTGTCCAACGAATCGAAGGCAGCCCTGATATCAAGAAGCACAACGATTGCTGGCCTTTGATAAGTATGACGGTGTTCTAACATTTGGCGGAGAGTGAAGATGTGATCAATACATCCTCGACCAGAACGAAACCCAGCCTGCTCCTCGCGAGTCAATCCTTCTCGGGTTCTGAACAACCTACGAAGTATGACGGAAGCCAATAGCTTGGACGCAATCGGAAGTAGACTTATCCCCCGATAGTTGTTACAGGAACAACGTGAACCTTTTTTAAAGATGGGGACAACTATCGACTCATTCCAGGACGTTGGTACACTCTCTACTTCCCAGACCTTTGTAAACAACACAGTCAGTTCCTTAGTCAGAAAGTCACCACCATCTTTAAAAAGAGCCGGAGGTAAGTCGTCTGGGCACGGTGATTTGTAGCGCTTTAAGAGTTGGAATTCCTTGCGGACTTCCGCCTCATTTGGTGGATCAGTCGTCGCCGGTCATGGAGGGCAGGACAATCTGACCGATGTTGCCGGAGCAGCAGACCAGTTGAACTGCCCTTCGAAAATTGCTGCCCATCGTCCAAAACATCGATGGATGTTGGTCATCGGCATCCCGTCATCTTTACAGATTGTTTCGCTCACACCAGACTTCCTGCTGCCAGTGGCTCGGATGAGTTGGAAGAGCTTCCGGTATTAACCAGATGCAGCTGCTGCTTCCAGCTCATTATCACGCTCAGACCACCAGGCTTCTCGGTCCTTACGCAAGCTTTGCCCAATCTCATTACATCGCATCCTTCGTTTGTGGTCAAACTCACGGTCACCCGGAGTAGACCGACGGGCTTCGATCAGTTGTAAGGAGCCTGGAGAAACCCAGTGCTTGTAAGCAGGACGTTTCACAAACCCACAACAGACTGTACCCGCCATTTTCATGGCGTCATGCAATTGCAACCAATGCTCATCTATACTTTTCGGTGGAATGGTAGTTAGCCTAGAAGCTAGCTCGGTTCGGTACATACTAGCAACAGAAGTTGTAGCCAGCTTGCTAACATCAATCCTGTGGTGGCGGTCACTTCGTTGTCCACTGAAAAGTAAGGTAAGATTGGCGCAGACCAGAGCATGATCAGATTCCAGATAGGTACTCCAAAAGGAGCGGCAGTCTTGCACACAACCGCGCCAGCGGTAGCTGATCGCGATGTGATCAATCTGAGTCCAGGCTTGAGATGCAGAAGGAGGACACCAGGTGGCACATCGGCGATGAGTGTGCCGAAAGTTAGTGCTAGCCAGAAACAGGTTGTGGTCTGTGCATAGTTGCAGTAGACGGTTCTCGCTATCTGTCTTGCGACCAACAAGTCCCCATTGGCCACCTAAACGACTCTCTTCTGTGCCTAGACTCCCGACCTGAGCATTCAAGTCTCCAGCTAGTACTACAATATCTGTCGAACGCACTTTCTGGAGAAGAACAGTTAGCTGGTGGTAGAATTCATTCTTGATTGCATGCGGGCTGCAATCTGTCAGGACATAGGCGGAGATGACGAAAAGACATCGTTTCTCACGCCGATTTCTTCTCACTTTGATGGAACTTTCTAATCTAACAGCACATAACCGACTGTTAATGGGGATCCAGTCGACTAGTGCTGCCTCAGCTCTTGCGCTTAGTGCGACACCAACGCCAGCAAGACCAGACGAAGATGCCACAGGGTCCCCGGATAAACGCACATAAAACAAGCTTTTTGAAGCGACAGATGGAGAGCGAACTTGTAGTACTTCACCAGAGTCTTGAATACGGGTCTCGGATAGACAACACACATCAATATTAAGACTTTCCAAAGACATAGCCAGCCCTATCTGTTGTCCGACCTGCATAAGTGTGCGAACGTTGAAGGCAGCCAGTTTGAATGGTGCACGTGGTTTCAGAAAAAACTGCTTCAGTACTCGTATTCGGTGGCAACATACAATTTTCAACCAGGCAGTGACTCGAGAACGTTTAGATAAAGCTGAATTTTTACCATAGGCGAGCTGCTGTCTGAGTCGAAACGGATACAAAAAGTAGAAATAGGAGATAGTGAATGAATGACGTAATAAATAATAATAATAATAATACCAGTCATTTCAATGTTAGTCGGAGAGAAACGAATATTTTCCATAAGCAGATAGTTCATCATGGTTTTAGTGTGTGGGCTGAGATACTGCCCGGGTGCCCAAACCGAAGCAGGTGGTTTTCTTAGGGGGCCACACCCCGAGCCTTTGACCTAAAGGTCTAGTCCACAAGGCAGTGGAGCATCGTGAGGAGATGCAGTCCCATGGAAGCCGGTGACCAAAAGTTGGTTCATACGCCATTTGTTCCTTCAGGATACTGGAGCCCATGTGCACCATAGAATTGGGATCCGGTTATAGCGCCGGACGTTCGCTTTTCGTCCTCTCATTTTCGTAAACAACACCCCCGTCACGAGAAGGCAGTGAGTAGGACTTCCCTGGCAGAGGCTGTATACGCGTGGCCGTGTGAGAGTATTTCGAGAGGGAGGGCGAAGAAAGTTTTCTTTTCGACGAAATCATTTACTTAAGCTGTACATTCGGATATATATAGTTATATGGAAAATGCATGTCTATAGAAGAATAGAAAGGATTGTATCACAAAAATGGATTCGAGAATAAATAAAAAATGAGATTAACGTACTAATCAAGGGGTAAGAAAGAACATAATTTATGGGCCAGATAAGTTAAGGACAAACGTCTGCTTTGGGCCACATCAATGTGTATATATAAATTTACTTGCTCATGTGGGGCACGTTACATAGATCGCACAAAGCGATCATTGTTCAAACGCATCTCGGAACATTATCCGGCCTGGCTCTTAAAAAGGGAACGTAAAGCAACACTAGTTCGATACACGAGCACTTAATTAACTGTGGACACATCGCTCCAAAGGAGTCTTCATTTAAGGTAATCTACAGAGTCAAAGGAACTGGATCGAAGGGGGTTCAAACCAATATTTTATGCACTGCTGAGGCATTGGCAATCCACAAACTCAAGTCTGAACTTTGCGTGCAGAAACGATTTGTTCAACCTCTCATCCTTCCTTGGCCCTAATTCCCTTAATGGGTATTCTTCTGTGTTTTTCTGCACTTTCATTTAATTATTATCGATATTTTTCCTTAAATTACTGTTTTGCATTTTAAACTCTAATCATTTATCATTATTACCTTATAAAAGTCCTCTTGATTATTATTCAGCTTATTATTATGACCTTTGTTCTTTGTCGCTTTTCTTCATATCTGTCAATCGGACTATGATCTGACCCATAAATTATGTTCTTTCTTACCCCTTGATTAGTACGTTAACTTCATTTCTTATTTATTCTCGAATCCATTTTTGTGATACAATCCTTTCTATTCTTCTATAGACATGCATTTTCCATATAACTATATATATCCGAATGTACAGCTTAAGTAAATGATTTCGTCGAAAAGAAATTTTTTCGCTGGATTGTATTCGTCAATGTTTTTATTCCTGTCATCGTTCATAATCACTTTAATATTGTCTACCATTAGCCACTTGCAATTAGTTAAATAAATATACAATTGATGCCTTAAACAGGTTTCATAAAAAAGATCGTATTAACATTGAATTCAGAAAGTGTATCAATCGAGTGTATGATGATAGGAAAATTGATCAAGTATCTAAGATTACATTATTCGTGTTATGCCCAGACGAAGTATAAGTGAATGGTAACTGTTAGGACATAGTTATGAACTGTTATTATATATGTTCTTATTGTATAACTATTGAGTAACTGTGTTATAGGTATATTCATATTCCTTTCATTATAAGCTTCCATTTGACTTACTGACTACTATTATACGATTTACTATTCTTAAGTTATTCACCAATTTATCAGTTACGGTCTCTCACATTCATAGCCATTTTTGGCCTGATCTTGTATAATTGTTATTTTATATTTTATGGTATGATGTGGTCTGATTTGCTTGTATATAAACTGCGTGTGTCTGAAATATAGGATTCATATAACGGAGGTTGATATTGGTGTTTTGGACTAAGCCGGCTGGGTTTGGCCAGAAGCTACTATCTCAAAGAACCAATAAGAAGTCAGATTTGACTGTAGGCTGTTCATACTGGTTTATGAGTCATTGGTCTGTTCACATAAGTCAGTGTTTCTAATTGGCGATCTTATAACGTGATAAATTAACGGGCCATAACATAACAATTAGCACATCTTTGATAGTCAATGAATGTTTCCAACCATTAGTTATTCTTTTGCTAAACATGCACCACTACACAACGTGCAATCCATCGGGATAAATATATCTTACATCACTTGTATGACTTTTCCCGCGACAACTTTAATGTTATTGTGACGTTTGTACAAAGTTCACTTATTAATAACGTATTCCATCGGACAAATTCATAGTTTGTATTTTATTGACGGATTGAAAGCTATTCTTCTATTTATTGATTAACGCAATTTATTAATTATTCAATGGGCCAAATAGAACTGACCATCTTGTTCTATCATAGACCATTTGTTGCTTATTTTGTTGTATAGAATGCGATTTTGTTTATATGCATGAACTCGTAAACTCAAGGAAAATAAACAATCTGAAGTGGAATTCATTAAAGTTAACTTGTTGACATTGTTTAACTCAAATATATCAACTTACCGACATTTATCACAAACATCTACTTCAAATGTTTTGCGTAAAAATGATTCTTCAAACAGTTTATGGCATAAATCACAAGTCGGTTTTCCTTGATCAGGCGGAATAGGTACATTGAAATTAGTTATGAGAAGATTCGACTCAGTGTTTGATTGCTGTATACACTTTTGCTTGCGTTTTTTAGGTTTAGCAGTTGCATTTAATTCTGGATCTGAAAATTCTTCATCTTTTTCTGTATAAGGATAATTATGATTAGAAGTTTCCTCTTCAAAAATAAAACCTCCATCACTTAAGTATTTTGTATTCAGTTTTGATTGTGGGACTGATGCATAAACATCATGACTTGAAAAAAAAAGCAGTAACTAACATTAGTAAAGAATATATATGTTTAGTTTGTAACAGTAAAGAAATTAATGTACAATAGGATAGTTAGACAACACTAACAGCTAATAAACTTATCTATCTTGGAAAGTGTGTTTCATTTGATTTCATGCATAACACTAATAGTATCATAGAAACAAAATTGTTACTTGATAAAACAGACATTGGAGAATATCAATCAATTGTCATTCTAATTATTTAAAACAAATATTCTCTAAAACTGTAATAAACAGTAACTAGTAACTTAATAAATATAAGATTTCGATAGTGTAATAAGAAGACGAAGATTATCAGAACTATGTGATATATTAACGCAATACATTTCGAACAATCTAATCACACATATACTTGTTAAGAACATTTATATATAAGAACAAAAGGTCAACTAGACTAGAAATGCAAGGTAAGAGGAAACAAAGATAATAAATATAGGATTCTTGAAATTTTCGAGATGTTTTCAATTTTCTTGCACCATTTTATTATTTTATGTATGTGTAATGATAACAAATAGTGAGAAAATAGCAGTCAATAAAAACAGTTTACCAGTGATAAGAGCTCATAGGTTAAGAAAAAATCTCTCTATATTATGGTCTATTAAGATATCTATAGTACAGCAATAATGGAAGATCAGTAGAACATTTTGTAGAGAGATATGGAATACATACCAAACATTCCTAAATTGTTTACACGATTTTATAAAACTACACACCATGTCAACTACACCTAAAAAAGACCATTTTATATGTGTACTCCACGTTCACAAAACGATTTTCATGTAATATACGTTTAAAAAAAGTAGCGGTTCAAAAAAATGAAACTACCCGCATGTTTAAAAGTGAATATGCATATTGGATTACATTGCATCATGTAACCATCAATAATAAACCATTGTAATACCTTAAACTACTAAGTACTTTGACAGTACCTTAGTTACGGGACAAATTATGACGAAAAACAATGTAGATACGTTCTTGTCTACAATAACGAATTATACTCCATCTAAAAGTATGTCTATTAATCGTGAAGTATAACAGAATAATCATGATACATACAGAACGAAACATTAATCAGCTACTGAAATGGTTAAGCTTTTTTTGCATCTATGGAACAACCATAAAGCCAGTTTTAAGAAATGGATTATATGTTGTTATTAGTTGCTGTTTTATATATCTTTATAAAAATAAGCATACGATTCAGTTAGTTTGATACATACCGATCATTTGCAACAACTTGTGAAAGTCTAAGTTCTAAGGCACGTTTTCGATTTTGTTCAATTCGTAAATGTTCTTCATCTGTAAGTTCATCCATTCAATAGTCAACTCACATAGAGAACGTATTCTAAACATGACAATAAAAGATATATTATGAGGACACAAGCAATTTAAAATAAAAAAGAAATAGCTAATCGATCAAATACAGTTTGTTAGGATCCAATGTGAATATATATAGCATTTAACTAAGAATACATGTTTCTCTTTTAAATACCACTAACCACCTATTAAATATGTATTTGTTCATACAATGGTACAATAAACTATAGACTAATTTATTTCATACATAGTTCGATTAAAAAAAACAGATTAATATGTGGTTAGAAATAGAGCATTGTAACTAACCAACGAAGGACCATAAATGAACACTATTTACCAGCTCATCATTAAATTATTATCGAAGGCCAAATTTCTACAACAAAACCAAGTATAAAGGACTTAGTGGATGCGTAACTGTGAAGAGTCTTGAGACAAAAAACGCTACTTTCATACGTTCATTAATTTAGAATGACAGATGATCCCAATTTAAACATTAAAAAACACGAAGTTCAGAGAAAGAAACTCTTTTCAACGAATTTATCATCAAGCTGTACAATCGTATATAAATATATAAAGATGCATGTTTAAATGGATCTGCTGAAGGATAAAAATTCATATTGGAAATCAGAAACAATATAAAATGAATGAAGTTCGATAAATTAATCACTTATATAATTATTCATTATAATCGGTGAATTCGAACATATAACCAGCAAACTCTTTTCGTAACAAGTTAAAGATAAAACAACATTGAATGAGTAAAATTTACTCAAAGTGAATCTGATATGAAATTTTATAACAAATCAATGGATTGCCTAGTTATAAAACACGAAAGTCAATATTTAAGAGTTCCTAAAATAAAGCGGTTTATGTGTTTAACCTCAATTTAGTTATCTAAGCAGTTGAAACCATATCTAATTTAGCTTATTAAAATAACTGAATAATATATATCATCTTAAAAATAGAACCAAATCAGTAACTACGTAAATACCCAAGTAGTCATCTTTTTGCCATACATGGTATGCACCAATCAGAGATACAATTTAGTCATCTATACTGAAGTGAATGGGATTAAATTTGAGCCCGAAACCCAAAACCTTTGAGTGCTTCACCCAATGAGACACTATTCAACAATTTAGATCATGATATTATTTGCGAATAACTAGTTCACTTATTTTAATTTTTGCATCAATTAGCTCACTCAGATTAACTAAATTAATACTTCATCAAACTAAGTAGTATCTATACTGAAAATTATTCCCATCCCGATTCGTATAAACTCAACCAAATGAATGGTTGTCCAACAGTCGGATATAATAGAAGACAATTTACATCGTCGACGAAGAATCCGGAAGTTTGTGATCAATAAAAACGTAGTTTTATTCTAGCAGCAATAAAACTTGCAGACATCGACCAAAGAAGTAAGAAAGCAGGGATTGATACCAAGCAATGAAGTCATTCATTTTATTTGAACACATAAATATTGGTACAGGGGGGCACCAAATATATATGCGCCACACGGTCATTTATTTTAGCAGTATTTAATTGCGTATTGCTTTAACAATATACAGCCCTTTATAAAATTTAAGATTCTATGAACTTAAGAGTTACGCGTCTTCATTATCCTTCACTGAACAAACAATCTATTACAACAAGCCAAATCTGATGTGATACAATGCAACAGCTAGATGTTGAAAGCACAGTCTTCAACCATTAGATTTGATAAGCACTCTACTCCACAAGCCTCTATATAATAGGTACGGTCGAAAAATGGAAATACATGAACAAGTAATTTGTTGGTGAGTTTGATCTGTTATACTGAGAAGTAATAGTGAACTGGTATTTTTAAGATTTGTGTTTGCTCGTTGAAAATGACAAGGTTTGAACTTCTTAACATTCCAGTACTTTGACTATTTCGAGATATTTATAGTGCTTGGACTACTTCATGTACCTCCTATGGAAACTCTGTAATGTTTTCCATACCAAAACGCATTCGATATTACAGTCATACAACCTGCTCAGTATTCTTGTATACCAAATCAGTTTGCATACTTATGACAACTTTTTGTCGGCTGAATTCATTTCTGCTATGGGGTGTTAATGATCACTAACATCGTATCGTAATATCATCTCATCCAGAATTCCAGTCTGCGTAACATTTATTGTCTCGCATCTTAACAATTTTCTTCAAAATGCTCATTTTGAAGTAACCTGGAAATTAGGTTCTTTTAAAATGTGTCAACATAAATTCACTATTATCTAGCATCTGATCGTTCCTGAAAACTGGTGTTTACTCTACAAATTCCCAGAATATATCAATGTTAACTACCAAATAAAATATACATTCTAAGAAAATAAAGACGATTGATATGCTTGTGTAACAAATGGAGACAGATAATTTAAATAAAGGTTATCATAACAATAAAAAAGTAGAATATCATCCTTACATTATTATTTGGCGATAAATTTTATTATTGATGCAACAGCAACGGTAACAGTTACTCCGTCTTTCCTATCCTGTTGACCATAAATATAAATATTACTACATAAGAAAGTATCAAAATGATATTATGCTTTTAGAATACAGGGTATGGACGAATAAAGTATAAATAATTATAGTTAAGGAGAGTATTTTCCATCAGGTAATAATAATAGCTTGATATAACGGTTTTAACTCAAATAAATTGGTTTTACTACAGAATTTATAGTTAAAATTACTGTGTGTGAGACGATTTTCAATACTATTCAATAATTTATCCCAAATTGGACCAGATTTAAATGTGAAACTATCGTTCCTGTGAATCCAGTGCCCAGAAACAACTTAGATGAACAGCAGCAAACAAAAAATGTTAAACACTAGCAAAATAGTAAGAAAACATCAAGATTACAATACATTATATTTTACCAAAATTTCGAAATAAACTATACAAAACTTTTTAAATTAATTATTTACGAGTTATAACGTCAACACTCAATGATCGACGGCTTGAAAAGTTCTTATGTGATCTTCGATTAAGTTGTATAGTATCGTTATCGTGTAATAATGTAGAACGTAAAGATAATTGTTGTTGGCAATCAACATATCTTTTTACTAATTTATGATATTCGCCATCTTTATTGTCATATGTAGCAAGCAGTGTTTCTAATTCCTTCACCTCTTTTTGTAAAACACAACGTGAATTGGCAAGTTCAATGCTAAATAACAAAAAAATGAAGAAATATGATAAAATGTATTTTCAAAACGAGGAATTGTTAACATTTTGTGGAAGGCATTCAACAAATTTAATTAATAAACCATTAACAATATATTTGAAATGGTAGACATGAAGACGTGTTCAGTATTTGTGAATTTCCATATTGACATTTGAGAAAATTGTAATTTATCCTTAAACATGTTCGGTCACACGACACTAAACTAATCACAAAAGAACAGTTCTATATATTCACCATTTTCTCCTATATTTTGGGCTTCGTATAAGCTTATACTTTTCGTCATTGAATGAAATTCTTTTCTTTTCAACTATATTTGTTATATTTAGCTCTCCATTGAGGTAAATATTATTGCCCCCATTACACTTTATGTTATTAATTTCCATTTTTGTTGAGCTGTTATGAGATATGACAATCTAGAATGATATATGCTTATGCTACTTCCTACATAATCTACGTCTAATATGTACATTTACGACCACTTATCAGGAGTCACATTATTACTGTTATTATTATTACAATTATTATTGAGTGCGTCTTGGGAACCAAGTTCAGGAATTCGTGCACAAATTTACTATACACTATTATCGAGGGTTAATGATACTAAGTTGTTCCCCAAAACCGCAGTAAATGGAGAGAAGGTACAAACTGAAGCTGGTTGGTTGGATGTCAACTTTAAATTATCACTTAACAACTATTTTAAACATTGACATATTCAAAATCGAAGTTATCCAGTAAGTTAGAACTAGATGAAGACGAATAATTTGCTCAGCAGAATCACGAAAGCAAAATAATTTACTAAAACACGGTACAATAAAACAAAAATAGGGTGACGTAAAAATACAAAACGACACAATATGAGAAAGATAAAAAGATTAAATGACGAAACAAACAAGAAATGATAAAGAAACAATCATTCTTAATAGAATAAATAGGATTTTGAAACGAAAAATGTGCTTAAGCAAACGACTAAGCCAATAACTACCCGATTTAACTTAATAGTTAAAAAATTTCGAATACTTTGTACATAACAGTTGTGGTTGAAATGAAAGGGATTACGAGTTGGTGAAAGTGTAGTAGTTTATAAGCGAAAACAATGGGGTAGTGACTAGCAATAAAAGCTAATTAATAAAAACGATAGTCGGATGTTTATCATAGAGTAAGAACAGTTATTGTAGAGATGAACTATCTGATCAGCAGATGGTATATCTCTTGAATACATAAAAAAAGAAACGTTATGTAGGTTTATAAATTAGTAACATGAACGTTAATAATGATCATGGTGATTTCAAAATTATGCTAAGGTTAAATTGGGATGCACTGAACTACATTAGCTCCTTGCAAGAAAGTAATGAGATACACAAAAGATGAAATGTAGATCGTAAAATGAACTTCTAGCAACACTGTTGACCGAATGCATTGGTCCTATGAAGGTCATGGTGAACCAAGTTTATGTATATTTCTCCCGAATAATCCTGTTAGTTTTCATGGCTCCCTTACGTACAAAAAGTACTTGTTGCGAATTACACTTTCCATACGTTAATTTCGCATACAAACCCCAACAGATGAAACAGAATGGTATTGCCTATAGACTTACTAGTTCTGTTTTCAGGCCAGACTGATAAATCAATAGGCTCGAGAGAATAAAGCCCTTAAAATATAACTTGAACAGAATTCAGAATTATATGTAGATACTGAATGTGTGATTTCAATCAGTCAGTCAGTAACAACGTGGAACTTCGTACGTACGTACATCAGTTCGAGTTGCCATACCACATTAGCACATAGATTCAGTTACCAATTCAACTCCCGAAGTGGAAGAGGTAGTGAAAGTTTAAGTATTAATCGGGAACATTAGGGTTTGATGATGTTATTTAAGGAGAAATATCCAGTGGAATAGATTTGGAAAGAAAATAAAGGACATGAAGAATACAGATTACAGTTTGAGAGAACACAGAGAGTGGATGCACCTGCGCCACTGCAAACGATTTTGAGCCATGTCATTCAAGGTCTCTAACCATCGGTTGCTATCATCTCGCGGTCCCCAACCAGGTAGTCTAAATCTACCAACATGGCTCAGTCCACTTGTCAGTGACTTTATGGATTTGTGCCATGTTTTGGTCTGGCCGCCCCTAGCTTTCTTCCAACCTACTCCTACACCAGAAAACATTGCACGTCGGGGCAGTCGGTGGTCGGGCATGCAAAACACATGTCCCAGCCATCTTAACTGATTTCAATCTCTTAATAGTTATTACACCTGGAAATCCTGGTTAATCAGATGTGGGCTGATTGTTATTTCCTTAAAATAAAAATGATGTTATCACACTGTAGTAAATATTCGTCTATCTGTCCACTCATCAAGTACTGGATTTTCGTCTCTATTGGCTTTCTGTGCGAGTTTTTACAGACGTTTGATTAATCTGAACACTAATTTGTTTACCGATTGATATTAACACCTGGTAGGATTGTAGAGTGACAAATACTGTCGTGATATATAAGTAATACTGTGGAGTGTGCTACTGATGTAGAAAGAAGTAAGTAGTATGTATCACCAACCATAAGTGAAATGCCTGGCAGTAGAAGGTTAAGAAGATCGAAGAGAACGAGAACAGAGAATTATAAGTGTGGTGACGAAGGAACGATCAAGTCTGAGACAAATGATTGACATTTTGCAAATGAATTGTTTACTGTATGGTTCTCAAATTTTATTAAGAGATTCTGTAATTTTGTGCATAAATACATTCGGTCGTCCCCACTGGTATTCTTGTTCACTATAATACTAACGAAATTAATAAAGATGATAGCACTTGGAAAAAAGAAGACATACTGAATCTTCTTCAGGATATCTAAGGTTTCTGAGGGTTGTGAAGCGGAATATTCAATGGATTTCTGCAAAACTTTGACGCGCAAAAGTAAGGCTTTGGTTTGTTCAGTTAAAACTGCTAATGCCTGACGACTCATTCGTGGCCAAACTACGTGTCGATATTCACGAAATAGACGGGAAGATGTACTGTATATCCTTGATACGATCTAAAAATATACAAGTTTAAATAAAAAGTGATCTCAGATAAACATACAACATTCAGTTGGATGTAAATAATAGCCATGTTTCCTGAGATTTAGAAATGATTGATATCATACAAATAATTTCATAGTAGTCTACAAAATAATTATATTACACCTACAGCAACTGCGGTTATGTAATATGTAGGTGACAGTAGATTGACAGCTGGGTGACATATAGAGGTATCAAAATGCATGTGATAACTCAGAAACAGAGATTATTTCTGTCGGTAGAATGTGATTACCGCGGGAGGTACGTATAGGCGAATGACAGTCCCGGTCAAAAGAATAAGCCAAAAAGGAAACAGTACTCGTGCTGATGGTTTTATCGACCTAATGAATGGAAGCAATTATTCTAATGGGTTCTGTATCGATAATAATTCAGTACCATTGGAAAAAGTCACAAGAGGTTGCAAATTTATAACCTAATACTAAAGTGGATGACAGGCGAGTTAGAAATGAGCCTGTTGACATATTTCAACTCTTGACGCAGGGTTCCAAAGAACATTGGATTCGAAGTTGAACCCACTGTGGATGGAGTTAAAGATACTAATGTTTTTTTTTGAAGCTATAACAGTCAACAAAATTTTTGTGTACCTGTTTTCACATTCTTTCCACTTCAACATTATTTACATATCTCTATAATATCATTTTAATATTAATCCACTCCCTCTTCTGTCACATATTTTGGAATCTACATGGTCTGAATCATAATTTAATAATAACAGTGGTTACAATTGTAATCGTAACAATAATAACGGAAGTATTAAGATAACAGAATATGAAAGATTCAAAAATGACATATTTCCTAAAGAATGGTGACGTGACACCAAAGTGGAAATTAAGGGAGCAAATTAAGAAAATTACAAGAAAACTAATGATTTTAATTACATACTTCTGTGAATGATGCCTGTAACCTCCTAAGTTCCGTAGCGAGTTCAGTTTTCCTATTTTGAAGCTTTTCAACTCCAACTGAATGATTGCTTTCAGATTGATCTGGAAGAAATATATTACGAAAAAATGGTAGCTAACCTTGATTGTGATCACCAAACAATCCCAGTCTTTCATTTAGCTTCTTTTCCATCCGTGTATGCAATATCGAAAGGATATCATTCATAATTTTATTTTCATGTTCTTCTTTACTGTAAAAACATGTTTCCTCCATCCCTTTAGAAACATGACATTCAGTCCATATTCTAGCCAGTGTACAATAAATATCACTTTCATGGCAGGTCAACAGGTTAAGTTCATATTCATATGCCAAATCAAGGATAACCTCTCTAATTAATTCATACTCAACAAGTCTGGAATAGTATCCCAACTGATTTGAAGATATTGCCTGATGACATTTGTAAACATTTAGATTTTATGAGTACCTTATGAGTTTCATGTTGATCTGGACCATACCCTTTACATTTAAATATTTGAGACTCCGCAAAGAGTAAACTTAGAAGCATTGGGGAGTTAGCTAGAATATTGAGGTAGGAAAATAAGGGCTTGAGAAACCCTAAATAGATAATAAAATTAAGAATTATTCTCTCCTAAAACGATATGGAAGACAAACGCATATTGGAAGTAGTACCTAATAACTTTCAGTCACATTCCAAATATAACCCTAAAAGACATCTTTTATGAGACTAAACCAATGTATTCCAAAAAAAGGTTATACGTAATAGGCTGAAAGGGGTGTAGAAAATAATCGACCGAGTTCGACAGGCCCAACTGGGACGGTGATACCAGTTAAGGTTGCAACTATGCAGCGTTTTCGTCACCAGTTGATATCAGCTATGATACAAAAAGGTTCCAGTTAAGTGAGAGGAGTTAAACTAGAGTTATGTATTAGGATTACGAACTAGGTTTAGGGTGTTCAACAAAAACTGACATCAGATGCAGGTTTGTGTATTTAAAACAGAAGATCGATGGCCTGTGTTATTCCTTTTCTACTAAATTTTTGAGTGTTTATTCTTCTATTGAATGCGTAAAGTGAAGGTGAGGACAAGACTTCTTTTTGGGTGACAAGCAAGAAAATTGAGTGACTCGGTGTGAAAATCTGTTTGCGTAGATATTCTGTCTGTCCAGCTGTAATTCAATGTCGCTCTGCCACACTTCTGTGTACAAACTTAGAAAACTTGAAGTCGAAATTTAGAGTCAGTAATTGGATTGAAACAATACGGTCTAGCAACAAAAAATCCCCGCCTATCCGTTGAACCACATCACGTACACAAAAATTGAATCAGGAGCAGGTCTCCCCTGTAATTCAGAGAACATCATTCGAGAGATGGTGTAACACAGTCTTTACTTAATTAATTGAAACATACACCGTGAGTGCATTTATATATAATTCTGGTGACGTGGCTGAAATGCAGGTGTAGACTACCTGATTGGGGACCGCGAGATGATAGTAACCGATAGTAAGAGACCCTGAATGACGTGGCTCAAGATCTTTTGCAATGGCGCAGGTGCATCCACTCTTTATGTTCTCCTAAATTCTAATCTTCTGAATTCATGTCCCTTTTTCCTCTTTCCAAATTTATTTCACTGGGTTATATTCCTTGAATAACATCTTCAAACCCTAATCTTTCTGATTACTGCTTATACTCTTACCAACTCTACCACTACGAGATTCGAATTGACAACTGCATCTCTGTGCTAATGTGGTATGGCAACTCGAACTAATATACGTACGCACGAAGTTCCACATGGTTACTGACAGACTACAGACTGGAAACAGCTACATTTAACACCCGAAGTTCAGATTACTAGACACCACGGTATCATCAATGGCAAAGTAAGCGTGATTCATTCATAAATGTTAATATAAAAGTTCCATAAAACTAGAAACCTCGCTCTCAACGTCCGTGTCAAAGTGTATTGGAAGTGTGTTAGCAGCTGAGTCAGTCTCATTTGTGATTAGATTAGTTAATACTTGAAATCTGAAAAATCACATGCTGCTCTGTAGAACATATCAGGAATATCAGACTTCAGCGCGAACACTATTCGGCTAGTATCTAGGTCTGAAGAGAGTGATCACCAACGGAAACTTGACACTGGGTTAAGTTTGCAGTCCTCTTTGTCATCTGGAGTGGAACTGCATGCCTTCAGCAAGAGGACATAAGAGAAAAAATTTTAAATCTACTAAATACATTGGAATACTTAGCATTCAAAATGGACATACTGACGTGACTAGTGGATGATATCCTTACTATGCACTTACTTTCTCACTACGTGTGCTGCATCGAAACTAAGCATATGTAGTGTTTTTATGTCGAATGTAAACGATTTCATGTGCACTTAACAACTGGTACATTCTTATAAAATAACGCATTACCTGTAACTTTTTGTGAATGAAAGTGGAACTGTGAACTTACAACGAAAATGTATAGCTAGCATTTAAATGCTATTAATCTCATTGTAAAATGTACTTAACCATATGTCGTATTCTAATACACTTGACTGAGTCTAAGCTATTATTTAGTAGTGAGATTGAAGGCGAAATTAGGAGACATTTGAAGTCAGACGAAAATTACACAATTTAGCGCAATTGTAGGTGAAAGTAAATGGTTTGGCGACATTTCAAACACTTCCTTTTATTTTCCCCTGGCTCGTCTTTATTCCCTGTTTTTCGGTTGCTTAAGTGCACCTTTAATTTCGTTTTATATTTCACAAGGGGATATGTTCATTCTAATTAGTTCACTCAATAATGTCAGTATAGTATACTTTGACCTAGAAACTTATCCTTAACAGTGAACATACCAAATATATCTCCTGATGATTCAAAAACTGAATACTCCCTGACAATAGAGTAAAATTTCAAGCAACGAGCCCACGAAGGTCGTTTCAAACTCCAAACCCCAATTTTAGTTTCTTGATTCCAATTTTCTAGGTAGAGTTGACGAACTGTTTACCCTGCTTTCGATAGTAAGGATGTGTTCTTTGTCAGAGAGAAACATAATTCTTGTCATATTTTTTCTAGAAACAGAAGGACGAAGCGAGTTCAGATGTATGGTGACGTATATTCCGTGATTTTTTGTAACCACATTTTTATTCAATATCCGTTGTTTTTCTGTATCACTTATGTTAAAAAAGATGATAATTGTTTTGATAAGATTTGAACACACTTTTTACTACCGCGCGGATTAAAATATAATACATTATCCACGTCGTCTGCCCTTCTGCTTTATTGGCCACGGCCTTTGATCGAAGACTATAATAGTATTATAATATCCTTATAGGCCTCTTTGCACTACGTTGGCATTTTGGCCCGGATCACTATTACACAATACTATTGGCCTCTGTCTTCCTAGTCACGACGTTGGTGCCATCAGTCGCAGAAGAACCTACGTTAAATCGAGTGGACTTATTTGTGGTTGTCATCTCAGGGAGCAGCTTTCAAGTAACATTCATTCTGTAATAATCGTTACTACCATATTGCTCAATACACCACTTGTATTTATAATTGTAAATTTGTTACCCTTGGTTTCTTTTTTACCGTACACAGACACCTAGGGTTTCCACTGTTAACTCTTTTGGCATATTATTATTAGTAACCTGGTGTATTAATATATCTTGTATAAGCTTTTTTGCTGGGAACCACCACAGATGGTTCGAATGGTTGTGAACGGGATAAAAGAAACATTATTATGGAGACACATCTGACAAGCTTATTTTGTAAATAGTTTTAAATGTAATTTGTATTTATTTTGTAAATTTTCCATTATCATTAAATGGTTGTACCTGTTGTTTAAGTGTTTGACCTTGAACACGTTTTCTTCAGTTGTTACACGTATAGCATGACACATTTTTAACTGATAACAAATACATCGTTGCACACATACTTCTCGTTCTACATTCGCTTGTGGCTGAGCTAATCGTAGTCTAAATCACATACTATTTACTTTTATAGACTGTAATTAGAATATACCAAATCCTATATTGGATCATATCACAACAACCCAAGAGCACATAAAATCAACTGCGTACAAACTTTGTTCAAGAGGGCGAAGACACTGCAGCACACTGGCAGCACGAAGAAAGGAAGAGAAATACCTGATGGACGTATTTCAATAGAATGGCTACCCAATCAACTTCATCAAAAAATACCAAACACACGCAGCATCAGAGCACAAATAAAGCACAGAAATCAACAAACGGATCACTCTACCATACATAAATGGCATATCAGAAACCGCAACAAGACTGCTAAAAACCTTCGGGATAGGTGTGGCACACAAACCGACAAAATCACTATAGTATCCTATGGAAACCAAAGGATAAAATAACAAATGAAGATAAATCAAACATCATCTACAAAATAAATTGTGTCAACTGCGACAAACACTACATCGGGCAACGCGGACGCCCCCTTCACCTGCGCTTATATGAACATCCATTAGCAGTCAAACGGCATGATATCTCCTCACGTATATGAATACACATGGACAACTGCGGACACCCGTTCGATTGGAAAAATGTGGAAATCTTGGACAGAGGAAATTCTAAAAACACAAGAGAATTTTTAGAAGCCTGGCACTCAGGTCAATCATCAATCAGCAAACATATTGAAATCGATCCGATTTATCAACCAATGAGGAAACTTGTGCACAAATATAGGAACAAGAATCAAACCAATAGTAGAAAAAACAAAAAAGTAAACAATGACAAATTTAAAGTCAATAAGAACCAATCAACATTGAGGTGCACAGAGCAAGCTGTGAAACGCATATGGAGGAATTCGAACACTTCACTTCTATCTGAATTTTGTGCTGATGATGTCGTTCAGAAGAATGATGAATGCTCCACGACCAAACCATCCAGCTCAGAGAACAAAACTCCATCAATATATTATTATTATTTGTCACTAATGATTCTGTTATTATCTTTTGGGCTAATATATTGCCTGGTCCACCACATTAAACTCTGAGGGTTTCCGGGTCTATCGGCAGCGTATAAACGACCCTCGAGGTAGGAACTAAGTCATTTCTAGCTAGCAAGTTGGTAATACCATCAAACTAGAGCGTAACATTTCCATAAGCCCTAAAGAATGTCTAGATTTACCTTAAAGAGCTCATGGAAAGTTACTTGAACCACCTCAGCCGGTAGCGAATTTTAGAACTTGGACACCCATAAAACGTAGAACATATGCCTGCAGTAGGGTTTGGTGGGTTTTACCTCTAATTTTCGTATATAATCTCTAAGGTTTGAGTTAGAACTGAGCTTGGATAGGTACATTGGTGGATCGCCAGAAGATTTTTAGTACTGTAGGTCTATAAAAGGTTTCCTGTTAGGCGCTCATACTTTATCAAGTAACTATCCAGTGGTTTAAATTCCTCTTTATAAGTTGTGGGTCTGGATCCATGAACTGATTTGCAGATGACCTTTGTATATGTTTCGGAGTATTCTTATCAACCGATAAAGATTTTAATGATAAGGAAATCTCCACTGCCTCGCGTAAGCTGACTAAATCTGGTTTGATCAGACGAAAAATTTCTTTTAGCTTGTTTTTCAACTTCTTACTCTCTTTTCAGCCACGTTCATTATGATTTAGTAGGGCCCTTACAATAATCAATTGCATACACTTATTCCTTGACATGTATTGACGATTTCACGAAGTGATCAGTTAGAATGTGAAATTTTCAGCTGTCTAACCACAGTCTTATGCATTAGAAGATTCGAACAACCTGTCTACCACCTATGAACCAATGGGCTGGCAGGATAATTTCTCCAACAGTTGATAGCTCCACTTTTAGTTGCAAATGTGTCATAATCGACTGGTAACTCTTCCACCCACGCTACCCGAAATTCGGATTGTAATAGAACATGACTTTAGATGCATTGCAGCCGAACGTATTTGGGGCACGACAAATCGACTTTCCAGAAAATTTGTATACCATTCACCTTCTTTAGTGAATACGGGTCTGAACTTTCCCTGAAATTTCTTTGTCATAGCCTAAGCCAGACTTGCACAATCATCGAATTGATCGGTTTATATGTCATGCACTCTCTCACTTGCACTAGCATAAAAGATGTGATGACATTTCACGTTTAACGAATAATTTGCATTTTTATGGTTGAATTCGTGAGACCATCTAAAAAAGACCACCATTGAAAACCTAGAAGAACTGGACGACCGTGTTTGTACACTACTCAGAAGTCCCATACTACGACATAACAGTCTTTCAGTACCTCCAGGTTTTCAGTGGTGTAGCTTAGATCGACTCACAAATTCAATTATTAAAACTATTACAATTTCTATAAACCCCATTCTGAAGATAATTTACACTTGATGATCCTGGTGAATTGACCTATAAACTAATGATACTAACGACGCTATCCATCAAACTTCACAATATATATTCTGACCAAACGAAGAATCCTCAAAGCTTTGCGCAGAGTACCCTTTAACGTTACAGGGCTATATACCTTTGGGAACACCGGGCGACTTTTTCAAATCTGTATTGCAAGCACTCTTAAATTCTGGATTTTCTTTAATCTCACCTAGGCCATCTTTCACGCCTAAAACTCCGCAGCTAGATAGGAAGTTGTTGATCATTAATGCAAACCTAACAAATATTGACACTCGCCAAGAGCATAAAAATAACCTTATCATGAACCTTCAATATTTAGGTTTCTTGGACTCAACAGTTAAGAGGCAACTAAATAGCAAATACGAACTTAAAACACCAAGATCAAAACCGTAGAAGACTAAACTCAGGGCTTGCGTGAAACAACTGCTCCGAATATCAGCCATAAATGTGTAATGTTTACAAAAGTGGTTTACGGTAGGATAAATATTTCAAAGTTCTTCGGTAAAAGAGCGATTGATTTTACTGTCTGGGTTGCTAAACTTATACATTGTGCATCAGATGCGGCCGGGTAAATTTTACCCGACATCCTCATCAATAAATTTTTTCAGAGTTTGTCATGTAATGGTGATGGAAATACGCTTCGGAATTCTATTGATATTTATCAATTTACGTAAAAACCATAGATACATGAAGTAAATTAGGTTGGATGATAAAATAGTTGACTGGGTCTTGGAAATCCTGTGGTGCAGTTGATGCGTACGTTGGTTGGGTGTATAAAATGCAGCAGATATCGAAATTAATAATAACTCCTTCTGATATGTCAAATTTGTTTGAACTAGACTCAAATGTCCTAGTTCGAAAGGAGGAAGCACATTGATGAAGAACGGTGAAGTGAACGAAAATGTTTAACTTATTCTTGGAATGCTTAACATACACTTTTCTGTCTCGTAGGAGAACGAAAACAATAAATGATTCAGAGCCTACCCCAATACCTTCTTGTGAAGTCGCTAGTGTGAACGTCAACGAACAGAATATTTCTGAGGCATTTAGCATGTTGAATTATGGTCTGCTATAATATTAGAACTGTTCGTATGATAGATCTAATCCTAAAATTGTAGATTTGTTATTATATAACTGCCTAATCAATAAGATCTTACATGGAAGTCACACTATCGTCTACACCAACTCATTGCATCGTAGCAATCACAGATACATGATAGAGTACAAGCTTAGGCTAGAGATAGAACACTATATTTAATACGAATAAAAGATATAAGGTAACATCCCACCAGGATCACGCCTGCTAGGCCGAGCCATATGATCCGATCAATACTAATTAATTCAGTTCATTGTTCCCGCCTTCTACAGCGTTGGGTTTTCTCCGCGTTAAAATGTCTAACATCAATTTTCCCAAGTGTCTCCTGTTCAGCTTTGGGAATTGTGTGATTAGGACCCAATGTCACTACAAGCACGCTGAAACACTCCCGACTAGCATGTTAAGAAATGGGAGTGATATTTGTGTCATATTTCTTGAACTGTTTGTATTATCATTCTTTATATTGTATTGCCGTGCTACTTGAAAAACTGCATATGTCATTCTGAAAATCAAGTCAGAACCTTCCCCAAATCACGAAAATTATAAACGTATAAAAATCATCTCAGTAGTATCTAGAGTGGCAGAGACAGTAGTTCAAAATCTAGTAGCTAATAGTCGCACCTCGAACTCCCAGCATGGGTTACCAAGGTCCGAGTCATGCGAAAAATATCTGCTAAACAATCTTAGCGTCATGACTATAAGGCAAGTCAACGGGCTATTTGTTTCATTTCTATTCTTAATCTCTAAGTATTCCTCTGATGTAATCTTAAACGAAGGCTTCTTTGCCTCCAGGTTTTGTAATCTACTATGTTGGTGGTTTGTTTAATTTCTAGCCTGATATAAAGGAATGATAAAGTACAGAAGCTTCTTCTCATCACCGAGATCAATGACCGGTGGAGTCATCCAGGCAAATATTAAGTCCACTGTTGTTTCTCAGGTACATATACGTTATATTGCAATTATGGAATTTAGTAGCGTATATTGAATGCTGGTGGTCTCAAAATGATATAAAGCTTCGCTCCTGAAGCCTTGAATGAGACCATATCACAGATGTACGTGATCTCAATAAATTATCTGTCTGGAGTGAAAAGTGATAATTACCATTTAAGCACGACACGTGTACGTTTTCGGGAACATCATCGTGAACTAGCGTCGTAAGTAAACGAATGCATGGTCCAGACACTCATCTCAGTACACAATATAGGCACTAATTACACAGGAGTCCTGGAATTCGAATAACATGCCCCTGGTGTTTTAAAATCTAGGGGACTATTGAGTTTCATAACAGAGAATTTCTTCACGATTGAGTCTAAGCTTGCCCTTTTCAAAATATATAAACGACACCCTTTGAACGTTGTCCGTTTATATTCCCAAACATGACTGCTGAAGATAGGATACAAGTGGATGCCCAAAAATGCTTCACACATTAACTGCTTAAATGTGATTACTCTCGACTACACGGCTATATGTAGATATGTAGAATTATGATCTACTTTGATTATAAACCTAATTCTAAAATTGTAGATTTGTTATGATGTAACTGCCTAATCTATAAGACCTTACGTGGAAGTCACATCATTGTCTACCCTAATTCATTGAGTTGTATGAATCGTCAATATATGAAGAATACACTTAGGTTAGAGATAGAACACTATGTTTAATATGGATAAAAATAATGTTACATAAGACCACGCCTACAAGGCCGAGCCATACCATCCTATCAACTACAATTAATTCAATTCATTGTTCCCGCCTTCCCCATTGTTAGGTATTTCTCCGCGTTAAATGTTGAATGTCTGTTTCCCATATTGTCTCGTGGTAGGGCACAATGCCACTACAGAGATTTCTCACTGGAGCATTTATCTTGTCAGCGGTTAATACACAACCTAATGTTTTTCTACGAAATAATATATAGTCTCTCTTATTTAATCTCCTACCCAATTATTATCGTTGACCTTCTTAACACGTTTATTAATAGTAAATCTACATTACAAGTGTAAGACACCAACAGCTAAGTCCCTACAGGTTTTTGACAGTATGGTTTACTTTACTGATGATCAGGCCACCATTACCTACTCATATGTGTGACACCTGAGAGGTTCAAGATAGTAATAATCCTGAGCCTAAACTCCAATGGTTTCTGTCAACCAGTCCTAGGGCTTCCGGTTAACGCGGAAACACTTTCACGGACGGTCTAATATCTAGACCTATCATGGAAAAATACTGACCGATCATGAATATATCGCACTCCTATTTCCTTACTTGTGCTATAAATTTCTAATCCCCAAACTCTGTTTCACTCATATTCTTTGGTCAGCTATTTACTTTTACCGTCTCCAAAGTATACATCTTTTGAACGGTATTTTACAATTTATATCGTAATTGAACTTCACAGCAACGTAATAAACTAATTGGATATCTAACCAACGATAAAGAAGCTTTAGCAATGGAACTATAATTTGTGGACTACCCACAGAGAAGGGTTTGAACGATCTCAAGGTCACGACCCCCATTTCAGTATCGATAAGCATATAGCGGATTTTAAAGAAGACGTTGTAACTGGGCGGTCGCAACATGTGGGATTACTAAGAAGTTCCTTTCTTCGTAACTGCCGCAATCAAATGACTCATGAACCTTATGCAAACCATCGTGATGATGTATTTGTGTATATGTTGTAAGCAGAAATATGTTGGAACGGGAAAATTTTTGTCATAATTACGATTGAGACTAAGACCGATTATGATGATTCTTGTTAAACGGATAATAAAAGCACCAGTAACATTAGCTGCAAACTTTGTAGATTTTACCGAAGATTCGGCAGTTTAATGGTACGAGTACTCTTGAGATATATGTGCAACAAAAATGATAAACTTGCATGAGTCGTTCGGAGGAGTTGAGAGAATCATCGCAATAGAAAAAAAACGGTCGTTAGATAACTGAAATTGAATAAAGGATGAAGTGTTTAGGAACACTGGGTATGTAGCATTACCATAAATACACTTGACTGGTTCTTGGTATATACGATATGTCTTTTCAAAAAGGACACTTTCAGTGCTTTAGAAACCGACAAGCCACGACTATAATACCATTTATAAGAGAGTACGTTCAGCTGGGAACCACAATATACAAGGCTGGCTGAAGATCATACCGACGCTTACATAGACCTGGTTACGTACATCATACTGACGTCCCTAGGTGGCATTTTGTAGGCTCAGCCACTGGAGTACGCACAAGTGATAAAGAGGTAATGTAGTCCAGACTAAAAGAATTTCGCGACACTATCATGGCTTAAGTAGTCAACTATTATGGAGTCACATAGATGAGTTCCTGTAACGTACGCATTACGATTTCAGAACTGCAGAGCGTCTTTCTGACATTGAAAAGTTTTTAAATCATGTTAAAGAATTGTATTCACTCTAATTTTTTGATTGCATATGCTTATTTTTACTTTATATGGACTGTTTTCTAGTTAGTTAGATTAATCAAAGTCACGTACGATTTGTTCAAGGGCTTAAGCTAACAGATCTTGAATTTTGGCTCAAAGTTCATTCACTCAGTGGGCTAATATACCATTTTGGCACCATAAATGATGTTAAATTGTGATGAAAACATTTAATCTAATTCATAATTCCTAACGTTTAACTGTAAATCTTAATCCCAATTCCTCACATTAATATATAACGCTCATTAAATCTTGATAGATAGGTAGACGTTTCGAGGTCATTTAAGAGTATCTCAAAGGCCGTTCATTAATTGTATCCTCACTTAAAGATCCTCTCATAAGTAAACATGGACAATTATGCTACAATGCATTCCACTTATTGGTTTACAAATGTAATAACGATAAAATGATTGACGAAAAATGATACGAGAAAATATCATTGTCTGCCCTGATTCTTGTGTTTCCAATTTCCTTTTCTCTATTAGCACTACAGATATAAATCACAGAACACAGTTATATGGAAAATGTGACTTCGTCCCAACCCTAAAATGATACCCCCACTATTTCAGAAAGATTTAATGTCGCATTAAACATATGCCTGACTCACAGTGAAAATGTACAAGGTAATGTGTTAAATTCAACGTTTTTAATCGGTGGATTATGCTCCTAGCACATAAAGCCGTAATATAAAGAGTTCTAGGCTTTACTTACTTTATTTTCTCGACCACGAGTTGCTCATCGTAGCACAGCTTTCATGAAGTCCACCGAGTTTTTCACTGGAAATTCAGGTTTTGTCGACATTTTTTGAACGGAATGGGTGACCTCGTCCTGCACCATCTTTAAAGCCTCAGATATTCCGAAGGGATATAAAGTTAAGATTTCTAGTAGCTTCCACTTCAATGGATCTACCCTCGACCGTCAGCTGCACGTCGCAACGCAACTTTCATTTAGCGCGCCAGCTGTGATACAGACTAAAACCATCTACATTCATATCTTATAAATTATCAACCCAACTGCGTATTTTACTACAGTGGAAATTGTATCATTTGTAACAATTTTACCTTTCCTGTAAACTGGCATGCCTCATGTAACAAACTGTTATTTGAGAATAAATTCTTATTCTTATTACAATGCAAAAATGCTGCCTTTAATATTCTTTCTGAAACTAAAGGGTAAAACTAGTGGCGTATAAATAGTCGATGTGATTGTGAAATTAAAGTAAGAACATTTACATGTGTGTGTAAAACAAGCAAATAAATATGATAAGTTAAATGTTTTATAGCAAGGGGAAATTTATACAACTGTGATTTTGTGGTGTTTATATGAACTAATGTTTCCTTTGTACTTGATGACTGTGACTTCGAATTCCAAATAAAATATGCTCGTTTGTGCTCATCAAACACTTCTTGGTTAAATTGCGTTATTTATGGGACTCCTTGTCTGTTCTGCAATTCATATACTCCTAATCATTACAGATTTACCGACATTTTCATGAATATAATTTAAAGTTTATGTCAGCTCATACAGTTTGTTCAAGGCATATTATGTGCCAAATACTATCTTCTACAGCCTGTATTCTTTTGCTTCCGTCTATGTATCGTAAAGTATTTGTGACTCCTTCTACGGAATGAATACAGTGAGAGTTAGTGCCTGATAAAATAACAGTGTCGTGGGTTAAAAATACTTTCAATATCTACCCGCATCCAGCTGTATTTGATTATGACGTAGAAAGCCCCTCTTGTAGTACAGTATGTTGTTGTTTTCGAGGAAAGTAATAACATCCAGCTATCAAGGTTATCACTAGGGAAATGGTCTAATAGCAGGGATTTTGAAATATGGTAAGAGCCAGGCGTACAGATTACAAACACACATCGAACTTACGTATGACTTTTTCCAAACTAAACTCTATATTAAGATGCACGGCCAGAGCAGCATTCAAGGTACCATTTTGTATTTGTAATTGGACTGATTTGGGTCAGTATCCTCATCTAAAACAGGCTGATATAGGGGTCTCTATAGTTGCTCTGTTGTTTTCAGCAAAGGCTGAGCTATTTCTATGGGTCTGCACAAGCTATAAGCTCTCAAATTCAGCTTCCGAGAGACACCTTCACTTTTGTGCATACAGAATCTCCTCCTGATTGTTTTCAGATTTCAACTCCTACGCACACTAAGGGAAATGAAAAATTAGGTAACTGTGTTTACTAGACTTATGTGCTTCATTACTTCAGCCAAGGACTGTTTTTAACATTGACTGAATTGAATTATAAGACAACCAAGTATACTCAAGTAGAGATGTAATTATTGTGTCAATTGAGCAGACATGTTACTCAAAGTAGCTGACTAAAGACAACTAAGCCCATAAACCCCAGAAAGCAAACTATAGGACAATGAGACGATGTTGGTTCGAGACTGAAGACTACAGGCATTCAGGAATCAAAACATAGTTTGCATCACAACTACCAGAACTAAACGTAGTCTCAAACCTTTTTGCGTTATTCACTGACGGTTCGCTTCAAAACAATCACGGCTGTCATTAAGTTCTTTAAATCTTAGGATATCATTTCAGAATGTGATGCATTTGTCCAGCGTAACTCATAATCTAATTTTCTAATAAAAATACATGGTAATATGACGAGCTCGTGGACTATTTGGACGTATACATGATCATTATTTCGGCCTATGATACACTTCGTTGATGCGACAAATTTGAGTGCATTTTACTGCAATAGCACTCAAACCTACTTTTGAACCAGACGGTAGCAATGGCTCTTTCAACTTGATGCGAGCAAGCAATCAGTGTTTTAATTGTCATGATCGTCTTATCTGCCTGGTTTGAAAAGTATACGCTATGTCCCACACTGATAGTAATATAATAGTTCCAGAATTTTATTTTCGGAAGTTTCATATACTAACGACAATGCCATGTCTACCGAGTCAATAGTCAAACACTTGATGTCACGCCGTAAAATGATAGCGATCAATCTTTACTTTTCATTGACTTGAAGCTGTTTCAACAGGCGTTACTTAAAATCCATGCTTATTTTCACAGTGTAGAGTCTCTAGTAGTATATAGATACCTAAAATAGGTAGTTCTGTAGGTTTTCGACATCCATGCTGACTTCACCAGTTTTTCTGGATACACCCTAACTGGAGGCATCCTTTCACACTTCCACATCAGATCATTAGTGTGTATGCGGTGATATATATCCCAGTTCAAATCAAACGCTTCTCGATACATCGACAAATCACTCATTTTTGACTAGGTTCGGGGTCCTCGATTAGAAGAAAGCTACAGAAAATAGGGTTGTTAGGCTGTGAATTAGAAACGTGTATTAACTTGATCATACGTATGGACTAGAGTGTATTCTGCACCATGTTTCACATCATAACTTATTGTCACTATTCAGTAACCGACAACTAATACTTAGAATAATTTCCTTCAGTATTTATCAAGCTAAATTAAGGTGGACAAGGTCGCGATTTCTAATCGGCGATTGAGGACTTTGAAGAGTCCTTCGTTCGCAATTTCAAGGAGTCATCAATTAGATATCAATACGCAAGATGATTAACGTTTTTGTGTACAAGTCATTTCAGTGGTTTATAGCAGAAGTGAAAAAGCAATCCGTTTTTACCAGGTGATATCAATGAGCTATTCATAGCAAGGTTTGGTGGTTTTGTTTAACTATACTAAATGAATAAGGAGTGACAAGATTGCGAAAGTAACTATTTGTCAGGCGCCTGTAATGATTCTGTTATGGGTGTCGGCAGTTTTAGTGCACTTGGCTCTGATCTTATACATAGCGTTACCGTTGATTGTAGAAAAGTTTCCTGCTTTTTGTCGGCGATTAGTTTTTAAAACGCATAGTAAGTTATTTCTGTAGCTACGACTAGTTGTTATAAATAAGCGATGTCACAAATTTCATTAGTTCGTCAAGAAAATGACTGTTAATGAAGATTTCTGACTGATAAATTCTTATATATCATAGTATATAGTCTTGTTTGAGTCGTATATATAATATTCTACTCTTGGCTAAGTCAGTTAAGCCTATTTTATCCACAGGGAACTAATGAATCCTAAAACAAGTACTGATGAATCAATGGAAATTGATGCTTAAGTTTCAAAGAGAACCGACTTTGTAGGGTTCGAGAGGTGTGTAGCATTACATATATTGGCTTCTCTTGGCTTGGGTATTCGTTCAAGTCGACATTTTTGTAGGATTAGATTAGCTCATGTAGGGTTGAGTACATTCGCGAAAACAGGTGCTGATAGCATAAAGTATGAAACCAAATATTGTTTATCTATATTTTGCTTTTATCTGCTTTAGTACCTGTGTTGCTTGCTATTTTTGAAGTTGATGATTGTCATTGCTCATGGAACACGATCTTAGCTTGACGTGCAGAGAAAACGCGACTGCATAAGACTATTTCTATAAAGGCTTACATTCCTTCTTTGGACTGCTATGTAAATGGTCTCACACTGGTGAGTGTTAAATGCCCGGGTATGGTTATGTTTAGTCGTGAATCTAGGTAAAAGTACTTAATATTATATTGGAAATTATCGTCCTATGGGAAGATTTTCTGCAGGTTTCAGTAATCAGAAATTCATTAATCATCGGAGCCGTAACAAGCACATATCAAGCAATATTGAATCACTTCTTGTGTAGATCCCAGTAATTCGAGGAGTATTATTAGTCAATGGGGTAGAAGTTGTTAATCCCTTTTAGGCAATGGGCACGGAGTTTATCCACCTAATTTGCTAAAAATTTATGAGGTTATTCCGTATTTTTTTTATCAAGTCTAGAGGGCTGTGTATGGACAGCTGGCTTTCGTTAAATATAGGCAAACTATTTGGAAAAATTCAAGGAGCTTTGAATCCCAATTAGGTTAAGGATTTTGCATGATGTTAAGCTAGTCATAACATCTAGTTTGTATCACATTGAATTTTCCAAAGAAATTCGGTCTTGACCTCTAGTTTACTTGGCAGTGGTAAATATGTTAACAGACTAACGTGTGTTAAGATGGTTGAATTAGCCAAATAATTGAAATATCCCGTACCGTTGCAGGCTTTGCAAATGTCCAGACCTGCCTCCTGGAGTTCATATTATTGTTCTATTTGAGACTAAATTAAGTTGTATTGGAGTATTTTGTACTCAATATCATGGAGTGTTTGTCAAATTTCTATCATTTAGACAGGTTAGATTTCTTAGCAAACTTAATCGGTTGGGAAACGACTGTGGTACTATTTTACCGTTTTTACTACTCAACGATTTACTGGTGTTTTTTCGTAACTTAGACAATGTTCAATGAGAAATGATTGAACATTGTTTGGCGAAGTTTAACAGCCAAATAAGATGCATCTAATTATCAAATGTACTCAAACATACCAAATATAACCAAAAAAAGGAACATGAAGCTACCAAGTTGTGAGCTTATTTCTGAACTTCTAAGCACAAGCGTATCGTCAGAACTATTTGTTTCTCTAATAAATAGATGTGTCAATTCTCCTGATATACCTACCAAAATAATCACCTCAGTGTTTTGTACCCTGAGGTAGAGAAGAATACAAAAGTATGATCGTAATTTATTTTGTAAAATACTTCATATTTAGGATGTTTTAAATTGATGTTTTTATACGTAACCGAGTATTAATGTATGAACTGCATAACTTGAAAGAGGTTTGACGCTCGTAGTTTACGAGATCTGTAACTAACTTGGTTTCAAACTCCAAAGCTTGAACAATATTCAACCATACATTTATGAAATAATTTAGCCCACACATTAGTACTTTATTAAATTAACTTCATAATTCATAATTTGGATATTTTCAATAATTATTTCGAATATGTTGATGAGATTGTGTGAAAATAACTAACTGCACTGTGCAGTACTGTTTTTAAATTTCATACTGGTTGTCTAAGCCCAGGATGTCCATAATAGGTGTCAACTTTGTACATTCGCTCTGAATGATTTCAGAATGGATAGTATTCGGCCTTGTGATATTGTTCGTGTTTGTTTGTGCCGTTTTAGTAAACCTGAAGTGGTTCTGAACTTTTTTTGATGCAGGTGGTCCTAGCTTTGGTTCCAGAGTCTATACACACTTTGAATCTGTAGACATCCCTAGTGGGCATGGCCACAATTTCTACATCGCTTCTCTAGATGACAAAGCTCTCTTAGGAGTATGGTAAGTCTCATTCTACTTGAATGATACAATTTGAATTGGCGCGGTTCTTGTGGTGTAACTATATACTTAACTAAAATGATACATTTTCTAGAACTATACAGTTAACAGATCCTCATTTTTGCACCTTATTATTTTAATACTCAAAAATACCAACGTTCAGCGTTTCCATTTAGTGCAAATGTTGCATGTGTGATGAAAATCAATGTGTCGTTTAAGTACAGAATAACCACAAGTGGCAGTTTTATTTCCCCTGTGTGTCTGTAGACAATGAAAGAGATCAAAGAGAAATATTATGTAAAGTATATTTTGATAACATTAGAGCTATACCGGCAAACACAAATAAAGTAGTAAGATGCTATTAATTACCAGGTTTTTGAAGAAGAATAAAAAGAAAGCACACTTGTTGACTTACAATCTTGATCACATTAAACCTGAAGGGATAAAGAGTTATTAAGATACTACAAAACTTCAGTCTGTCATTGGTAGAGAGAAGTTTTATTTACAGAAGTGTTCATTTGATGAAACATTTTTCGGCGTGGTTGAAATATCAGATAGTTTTGAAGTTGGTTGACTTAGTACTTGTAAATTAGTTATTTATCAACAAACCGACTGAATGAATATATTTTTTGTTATATCCCACTAAGTACAAAAGTTATATTTCTGGCGTTTCGTGACTTAATTTAAGCCACCTCTTCAAAGTAAATAAGTAACAATTAAGCTAGATAGTACTATTTCAACTTGTGTTAACTTAATTCAGTTATTTGTTTACTCCGAAGAAATGGCTTACATTAAGTCACGGAACGTCAGAAATAGGATTTTCATGCTTATTGGGGTATAGAAAAAATATATTTGTTATTAACGTTCTACCCAATGCTCAATTTATTTGAAACTACTAAGTCCAACCTTGGGATTGATGCCTATAAAAACGCTTCATTGACTTGATCTTAAAATTATTTTGCTATTATGTGTTACAAAACTTTTTATCAGCCCAGGAATTTGTAGAGAGAATATAATATTCATAGGTTTCAAATCACAAACTGATCTTAGTTAAACCGTCATTGAAAATCTGAGAGTACTAAACTACCGTTTCAGATTGGTATGAGGCACTTTAGCAGTACGCATCTATGAGCCCTCATCCAGGAATCGAATTCAAGATCTTCGGTGCTGCACGGCCGCCTGATCTCTAGACCATTGATCCGTACTAATATCTAGCTTCAAGCAGTTCACGATATTCATCGATCACCTTTCATTGAATGAGGCGGGTAATTGTCTCATACCCGATATGATTGAACTTTACTAGTTACGGCTAAGATCAGTTAGTGATTTCAAAACTATGAAAAACCTTTATGACTGCTCATAAAGTATATGTCTATAATCTGTCTATGAGGACTGAACTTCTACGACCGTTGGAGATTTAATCTTAAACCGTTCAGTTAATTTTTATCTACAAATATCGCTTATCTTTAACAACAATTAAGCTAGACAATGACCATGATGTTAGAACTGTGTAAACTTGACTTTGATGTCTAAAGGATTAGACGTGGAGTGAGTAGATGAAGTTGAGTCGGTCATCATTCAACGACCTTTGTGAAGTAGGGATATTCTACGGTCGGTTTGTAACTGAAAATTACATTTAACTAAAAATGTATTTGAGTATATGCTTGATAGAAGCGTATATTAACTGTTGTTGTTGTTGTTGTTGTGAAGGTTATGGTGTCCTCATCGATTATTTTTATTAATCTATGAACACTTTCACGTAATTTGGTAATATACTTAGTGATTAAAGCTAATTTACTGATAACCTTGTAGTTCAATTATATGGTACTGAACACAACAACATAAAACGTCCTTTGATGTTATAGTTTATCATATACATTATTATTTTAGTCTTCCTGTTCCACGGAATTATGATGTGATCACTCCTGCTAAAATTATTTTAGTTAAGTGAAACCCGAACAAGCTTTGTAATTGGTAATTAAGTGTATTTAAAAATTAATCAAACGGTTTACATCCTGCTAAAAATGACTAAATCATCAAATTGATCACTTAAAATACTTAGGCTTGAGGATCGTGCTTTGATAACGTCCATATGTGATGACAAGGTTTTGCTGAAATGTAGGATATAACTCTAAAAACATTGCATACTTCGTCAAGGTTCAGTGGTTCAATCTATAATAGTTTAATCTTTAAGTTTTGAGTATAAATTCTTCATATCATAAGGTAGAAAGAAATTATTTTAAGATTATTCTTAATCATATGTATTTTCAGAATGTTTGTAATAAATCCTGCAATCGTCAGATCAATTGGGATAAAGAAAATAACTGGTCGCATATAAAGGCAAAAATACTAATGAGTTAATTCTAGTGCTAATTAGTTGACGAAATCGTGACTACTGATATATTATTAAATCAAACCGTATTAAGGTGTGTTCAACATGATATGAAAAAACAGGAAATTATGTGATGAAAGAAACTGCATCAATGAAATAATACTCACCGAGTAGTTACGCTGCATAATAATCATATAATGAAATATTGATTACAAAATAACACTGAGCAATTGAAAGAAAAAGGATTATAATAATCAAAATAATTACTCAAAAACGAACCAGTTGCTACGTCGCATAATATATATAAAGAATTTTGATGAGGTCGGTATTACAGTACCCGTGTAAGAATCAAGTGACGAGTGTTGAGAATAAGTAAAATACCAAAGTAAAAAAAATTCGAAAATAGTTTAAATATTTTTAAAAGAGAGAGTTTCATCAAAGTTCTGGTACAAACTCACTCCTATATTGATGGCCAAGGTAGCGAGAGCGGTTGTACAAACTTCTTTTGGATATAATGATTTGGTTTGTGAAAATGGGTTCCAATACCCTCAGCGATGTGTAAAAGACGAGCTCGTAAACCATTTGGTAAATTTTATGGAACATGATTGATAACCTTAAGAGCTTTATTCAATCCTACTTTATGACCTGTGTCCACAAATTGAGCGAGAACATAACTCTCTTGGTTGAGCAAAGGACAGGTAAGAGTGATTAAGAGTTTGTACAACCGCTCTCGCTACCTTGGCCATCAATATAGGAGTGAGTTTGTACCAGAACTTTGATGAAACTCTCTCTTTTAAAAATATTTAAACTATTTTCGAATTTTTTTTACTTTGGTATTTTACTTATTCTCAACACTCGTCACTTGATTCTTACACGGGTACTGTAATACCGACCTCATCAAAATTCTTTATATATATTATGCGACGTAGCAACTGGTTCGTTTTTGAGTAATTATTTTGATTATTATAATCCTTTTTCTTTCAATTGCTCAGTGTTATTTTGTAATCAATATTTCATTATATTATAGTAAAAAAATTCAAGTCTAAATGCTATTTTAGTTTTGTTCACCACTGATTACTTGTTAGTACTATAGAGATTTGATAAACATGACGAAATAATTTTTCATTTTAATATGATTCATATCACCTGATCATATTTTGTATGGTGCATTTTTGGGGGCTTCTTAATGTCACTAGGCATATTCTTCCATCGAATGATGAAGAAATTAGTGCTGCCGATTCACGGAGTTATGAAGAAATAATGAATTCATTGCCTAATGATTTGCCTGTATTTATTTATTTCCATGGCAATTCTAAATCAAGAGCTATTCCTTGGAGAGTGAACATTTATAAACTATTGTCATCTCTTGGCTATCACGTTTTTTGTTTCGATTACAGAGGTAAGTTGAATTTTGGAGCTGAACAACTATCGACGGGAATGCTACGGGTGTTAGAATTTTGAATCTGTTTACTCTTTTTAATTTGGCTTACATGATTAGTTATGTGCTTGCTTTCTCATGTAAACTGTCTGATTAATAATACTGTCGTTATCTCGGTGGTTGAAACATGAAAAAAACTAAGCTCAATGAGTGTAATATTTTAAATAATTATACATAATGATTGTGATAGAATTTTTAACTGATAAATATAGTGGTGACAGTTTAAGTACTTACAAATTACTTATTTAATGACATGTAATATCTGTAAAACAGCTCTTTGACTTTGAAAGGAGTGCGATCGTTTTTCCAATAAATGTTCTACCAAAAAAATGAAAATACAGAAAACTAAAAGGGAATAACCAATATGTGAAATCATGTGATGACCTGACGGAAGTAAAAAGTTACTCTAACTAAAACATAACTAAGTTTATTATATTAAGTATAATGTTTATTTAAATAGACTGCTCAGTAAGATATCGTAAAGAAGTTATGCCTGTTTGAAACCATTTTGACGGCATTATTAAATTAATGCTGGTGATACTATGAGTTCCAGGTTTTTAAGAGGAAGTGGATTTTTATGATGTCGAAATTGGTAAATTTTGTCCTACCAAGTTTTCCAGCAAGGTGTTAACACAATAAAGATTTACCATTAGACCAAATTTTGTAAATTATATATATCAGAAATTCCAGCCTAACGGTAAGTCTTGTTTATAACACAGTACTTCGTTTAATCGGAGTTTCGATACTACTTTCATTACATCTATATAGCAAATTATGACTGAGAGTCATTGACCATCCGACGACATTAAACATTTCCATTCATCAGACGGATATGAGCGAAGGATCGACATCCGCAACCAATAGCTTCCTTAACTTATTACATATAGGACGTTTAGAAAAATACCATGTAGATGATGTTAACCGCTGCCGATGTTCTTTCATGCTGCACATGTATTTAATTGAAAGGCCATTTTGTTTACAATGGTTATCCCAGATAATAAAATGACAGAAAGTTTGTTTTCCACAGACCGTTCATTGTCTCAAAAATTTTCCTCCGTTGGAAGCCAACGCTAGCAAACATCTTTCGTAACATATCTGTTTAATAGTCATGTGAAATGACGTTACTATAGTAACAAGATTTTGAGATGTTACCCTATTGAAGCTGACAGACAGTAGATTTTCTGTTAGATGATTAGAATTACGTTTTTTATTTGTTTGACAATAAGGGTGACAAGAGTACACCGAAATTCAATTTCACACCCTGAAAAATTTATTTCCCACAGAGTACGCATCATTCGAATTCTAGTAATTTTGTTTTATTATGATTAAACATTATCTTGTTTTACAGTGTTATATCTACTTGGATTATATTATTTGTGATAACTGAAATAAGTTCGGTGATTTCTAAGTCAAAAATTATAAGATGTATGTCAAAATTCAGCCAGTTAGTGATAATACTTGGATTGTTTGATTAAATTGATTTATAAATATATGAAAAACTTGACACTTTAATCAGTTGTTACCTGTAACATCAAGTTAGGATTTACTGTAATAATATTCCAAACATAGTAAATACAAAACATTTCACAGACAGAACGTAAGTTATGCAAGCTAAACGCACAATTTTGTCTTATTAAATGATTGTAAGATATATATCACTTTTACTCATACTAATGTTAGAAATGTTAATTTTCATAAACATGATGTTGTTACATAATAAGTGCTGTATTGACAGTATATTATGACAATTCCAATCATTATTCAACATAGTACTGTTATGTCACGTGCCCCGCCGAATGTCACGTGACAAAATCGCCAATCAGGATACCGACTTCTATGATATTACCCCTGTGCTAAACCAATGATGCATCAAAACAGCACTAGCAGCCTTGAGTCAACTCTAAGTCCTCTGTATAGTAACTTCTCGCCTAACCCAGCCCGTTCATTCCGGAACACAAATATCAGCTTCCACTGTGTGAATCGTATATTTCAGACATGCATAGTTTGTATACAAGCAGACCAGACCGCATCATACTATAAAATTAAAAATAATAATTATATATTATCAAACCAAAAGTGGCTGTATGGGATACTGTAACTTATAAATTGGGAATAAGTTAAAAAATAGTTAGATGTATAACAGTAATCAATAGGTCAAGTGAAGGTTTATGATAAACGGAACACAAATATACATATAGTCTGGTCATATGTTAGTTATTCAATGAGAATATATGTATTAGTAATCTATAAATAACTCCTAGCATTCACCATTCATTTATTCTTCGTTCGTGTATAGTAAGAGCTAAGTTGTTTATGAATCTCTTTAAAAAACGAAAAATGATTCTGTACATCTTTAAATTATAAACTCCACCCGTAATCACTTAGTTAAAATCTATTTGTCTAACTACTGTCTATCCCAAGATTTCATTCTTGCTTCAACAGCATTAAATTGGTTCTCAAACCACAGCATAACATCAATACATGAAGATCTTTGTCAACTCCATTAAGTTATGCGGAGTATCTTAGGCTTCTTGATCATAATTTGAAAGACAGCATATATCTTGTAGATTCAGATAATACCATCTTGAATCAGTTCGACGTCCTAGTTTTCATTTGTTAATGAATACCCATTTACTCATCACCTTTCCCTGTCGTTTCTTTTAATTTTTTCTTCCTTCTCTTTAGCATTTATTGCATTAGATTCCACTCACCGTATTATTTTTTAAAACTGTAATGTGAATTAATAAGTTGTCTTTTCCAAGCTTTATATGATTTTTGTCTTTTTCCTTTCCATGGAGAATTTTTACAGGAATTATAGATACCGACACTACGAGCTTAAATAGAGTATCAATGACTATAGATATACATACTTAGCTACAGGATTTAAATTTTATGTTTCCTAATATCAGTGAATCGTATGATCAGACTTGTGTATGCAGCGAAAAGCTAATAGTCCTTTTTGCTGAATACTTCTTTAGTTGATGTAGTAAAAACGTTATATAATTCGACCAGTCGTAGGATTCGGGAGATATATTCCTTAACTTCAACAGTATAGGTGAAGTCTCCGTAAATTTGCTGCTTTCTGTTGGCTTATTGGCAACTAACACTGTTCACAATGTAGACATGATAAGTAAAGATTTGCTGATTAATCAAATTGTTTATCTGTTTAAGAATCGTGGTCCAGCTCATGTTATTTAATTATATTACACTTAGTAAACTTTTGAAGTTAATGACATCAGTTTGTGAAACCACTAACTGTTAATTTGAACTAAATAGGAAAATACATGCTTTATTGTTACGTTTCTTGAAAATCTCATCTATAATTAGATTTTCCAGATAAAATGATTCACAGTTGACTCCAAGTATTTAAATGGGTTCATTCTTTGTAGAACTCAAGTTTGTCAACGTAACATTAATTCTTGTTTTGTTTTATGTGACTTCATTCTTTTCATCTGGAATGTTTTTTCTGATTGGTTCTTTTCATCGGTCAGATCAACTCTTGTTAATTTTCCCTCACTTTACTATTGAAAAGTGCAGTAACTTGATTCGAATCTGATTTGCTCCAGGTGCTACATTTAAGAGACCACAGGAATCGATGAATCAAACCAAGGTTTGGAACTATATAAAAATATCCTACAGCTACTGTTTTTAATAAAATGTCGATGAAAATATGATGACTAACTCATCAAAAAATAGTTATTGAAGTTTCACATTTATCCTTTCTTCAAAATACATATGCTCAAGGTCACTTTTCCTTGTGTAATTCACAATGTTTTCTTGTTTTTAACTTATTGCTTTAAACATCGAAGTAAAATTATCTCAGAAGTTATCGAGTTAAACCTCTTTCTTTATATATAGTGTCTTTACTGTCTTTTCCATTCCGTTTTTGCAGTTACTGTTATAGTGCAGTTAACATGGTGTTAACCATAAATTTGTTTTTTAAAAAAATGAAATTTTAATCAGTTGTTTTGCAGTAAATATCACGGATAAATACATTTGTTTAGGAAGTTGGATTTTGAAGGTGTTAAATTATCTGCATATCATACTGTTTTTCTTAAAATTATTTCTCACTACTTATTAAATGGTAGTTAGTGATGGATAATCACCATTTAGGTCATGAATTCAACTTGGATTTCATAACGTTTTTCTGTAACTTATAAGATAGAATACTTATCTATAAGAATTACCATATAAGTGTGGTTTAGTTCGATTAAACACGGAACTGCTTTAAAATTTTTATCGAAGAAATTTTCTGAAAATTAACTGACATTCACAAATACTCGTTCCATTAATGATTTTGTAAACTGTTTCATTGATAAAACGACTCATCTCTTTTGAATTGTGTTCATAATAATGTGTATCCTATTATATTAGGTCGCCTTACGATTATACTAGCATCAGTTTCTACCGAAGGATCGTAAATTTACCATACATAACCTAAATTTTATGTATTTCATTCTTCCAACAAGTTGTAATCCCAGTGGGGTTAGTTTTCGTAGCATTTGTTCAAATGTGTTTGCCTAAATGAGCATAAAATTATTCATTATTTGAAATACATATGGAGAATCGTTCAATATGAGATTGATTGTTTTCTTAAAAGTCATTACGAAATCTCTATCCAAGATGATTTATACTTAAAAGTTGAGAGTTGCATATCGTATAGTTGGTGTTTTGTTTATTGTAATCTGTATCAGATTTCCTATGTAGCTTGTCAATCATTTACTGTCGTTTAAGGCTTATTTATGCTACGCCGTTAGGGTTTAAGTCTATTAATCTGATTAAGCTCAATAATCAAGCCCAGTTTTTGTGTCATACTCTTTAGTTAAGGTCTGTTGATTCTACTTCACTTAAGAAACCGAAGTAGATAGGTTCTCAAGAAGTCAAGTGTTTCAATCAATGGATCACTGCTCCTCACGTTAATGTAAATGTCCCATATTTTTGTGGGCTAATAGTTGTTCTAAGGATACTACATCGAAATTACTTATTAAATATATTGTAGTATTGGTCATGTAATGTTGTTTGCGGGGTTAGGTAGTTTTACATCTCAGTGTACTGAGGACTAAAACTGTTGAATTAATATAACTTATCTTCATGATAAATTAACATAACCACCGAATTACTTTAAAAATTACAAATGGAGGTGATTAAGAGATATATACACATTTAAAATATGCTATTTTTGTACGATTAAGGTTCTTCATTCACAAAATTGCTTCTTGTAGGTTCATGTGACTCATCAGTATGTTGAAGGAAACGTAAAGTGAGGTAGATCCAATAATTTAATAAAAGTGAAAGGAATTTACTCTTGTGACCTATCTTTCTGAACCACATATTTATCTTAATATTAAAGTGAAGGAAACTTATTCACAATTGCAATTAATTATGTAGCATTTTCTGTTACCTTCAAATATTAATAACTGGCATACAATATATATGGTATGATTACAGTACATTTTGAATAATTTCAAGTATTGACTTGTGTTGATTTAAGGTTATGGCGATTCAACTGGGTCATTAACTGGAGAAAATGACTGTCTACTGGATAGTTTAACAGTTGTTCAATTCGTTTGTAAACGGTTTCCTTCAGCGCCGATTTTCTTCTGGGGTCATTCACTTGGTACTGGGTAAGAAGCATCTTTCGTGTTTACTATCAGCTGCTAGTAATAGAAAATTTTAATCGATTATGTATATCCCCTTACAAATGGTCTGGCGCAGTTGACAATGGATAGAGTCCACTATTTCCCTCGAAATGCCTTTGTGCTGTTATTTATTATTATTATTATTTTAACACATAGATATCGGTACAAGAAGGCACCAAATACATATGCGCCACACAGATCTCATTTGATAAGTGTGAGGGCTGTGATACTGTCCGAGTGCCCAAACCGAAGCAGGTGGTTGTCTTAGGGGGCCACACCCCGAGCCTTTGACCTGAAGATCTGATCCACAAGGCAGTGGATCATCGTGAGGAGATGCAGTCCCATGGTAGCCGGTGACCAACGATTGGTTCATACGCCATTTGTTCCTTCAGGATACTGGAGCCCATGTGCACCATTGATTTGGGATCCGGTTATAGCGCCGGACGTTCGCTTTTCGTCCTCTCATTTTCGTAAACAACACCCCCGCCACGAGAAAGCAGTGAGTAGGACTTCCCTGGCAGGGGCTGTATACACGTGGCCATGTGAGAGCATTTCGAGAGGAGGACGGACTCTCCCCACTCCCGGCCATACCAGGGCATTTGGGGGCGCCTTTGTGCTGCCCCGGCTTTGTAACCTTTTCCAAGAATCTTTTTGCTACTATCCTTATATTGTAATGGCTTTTTATTGTACTCCAAGGGTAAAAAGGATGTTTGATGCTTTAGATAGTTCGGTGGATATGTAGTTTTGGTTATGACTTACGGGCCTATCTAACATCACGTGATAAGAACACCAATGATATGCCAACCAGCGCTAATAGTAGCCCCCGAATGCCCTGGTACGGCCGAGAGTGGGGAGAGTCCGTCCTCCTCTCGAAATGCTCTCACATGGCCATGTGTATATAGCCCCTGCCAGGGAAGTCCTACTCACTGCCTTCTCGTGGCGGGGGTGTTGTTTACAAAAATGAGAGGACGAAAAGCGAATGTCTGGCGCTTTAACCGGACCCCAAATCAATGGTGCACATGGGCTCCAGTATCCTGAGGGAACAAATGGCGTATGAACCAATCGTTGGTCACCGGCTACCATGGGACTGCATCTCCTCACGATGCTCCACTGCCTTGTGGGTCAGACGTTCAGGTCAAAGGCTCGGGGTGTGGCCCCCTAAGACAACCACCTGCTTCGGTTTGGGCACCCGGACAGTATCACAGCCCTCACACAAATCAATTGAGCTTTGTGTGGCGCATATGTATTTTGGTGCCTCCCTGTACCTATACTTATGTGTTAAAATAAATAAATAAATAAATAATGAGTCAACTCTAAACCCTGATTGGTCTTCAACACAGTAGCTTCCCTCCTTTCCCTGTCCATTGAGTTCAGTGCGCAGTAACCACTTGCCACTGTATGAATATGTGTCAAACATACGTTGTTTATATACAAGCAGATCAGACCTTATCACAAAGTAAAATGAAAAATAACAATTATTCAAGATCAAGCTAAAAGTGCTTGTGATAGGGGAGACTGTGAGCAACAGGTGGGTAATAAATCAAGAATAATAAATCGTATGATAGCAGTTAATAGGTCAAACGAGAACTTATGATGAAAGGGAGATAAAAAGTTGGAAAATCTGTATTTGAAACAAATAATTTGAATAGGTTCCAGGATTTTAGAACGAATAGTACACAAACCGATTTTGGATACTGGATACCATCCCTTGATGTTTCGTCTTCGGCTTGTCGATTAAACCTTGAGGTCAGACAGTTAAAGGCGATTGTCTAAGAAACAAATGTGCCTCGATTTAGCCGTATACCTCACAAAATCTTTGATGATTAATGAAAAAGAAGCGTAAAATGAACTAATGATGGTATGCATATAGCATTTAGTTCGTCTAATTAATGCTGTAATGAAGATAATAATTATGATAATATATACTGTGAAAATAATAATTACGGAATTCAGACTAGTTTACAGGCATGATCAACTTGATATAGATAGTAATATGAAATATAGAGGATGGTTTAACAGCTTAACAAACTGGGACAATTTAACTTTTAAACCTATATATGTAATAAAATAAAAGTAATTTTTATCGTATGCAGTGCATTACATATATTTACCTTGCTACTTTATCTCAAATTACAATTCTTATCGATTCGATAAAGTTCCATTTCAGTCTGAGTCTAAAACAATAGTTCCAACTGTGTAAAGGGCAAATGAATCTAACATTACGTTTACAGTCTTTGATAATTGAACAAAAATAATATTAGATTTGTTTTGTGCATGTTTTCTGTTAATAGGGTTGTCGGTTGTCTTATGGATCATTTAAATAAAGAGCATGATTCTTTACCAAATATTCGTCTTCCAAAAGGTATTATTCTTGATGCCCCGTTTACATGCTTAACTGATGTGATACATCACAGAATATTTATGAAGGTAAATATACATTTTAATTTAAATTACCTTTAGATTATTAACTAAGTAGTGTGTATATTATCTCTGTGTGACCAAATAAATACTATTGTCTTTTCATATACTTATACATTTATCTTTGAATATACAATAAGCACATGAGACGAAATCTGCATAATTCAGTTGATCCAAAGAAAAAAGAAGGCTGCGAGACATGCTTCATAGTAATTATATCTTTTTTTTCTTATCCCATTGTTATCAATAAATGGTTGATAGGTATATTTTAATAATTATTAGAATTTACTCACTGAATATTTCTTATAACAATCGATATCCACATGAAATACTTTTGATGAAGAATAAAGAAAACTATCAACATCGAATTCATTGTAACATCGGACCATTCTGGTAGATATTATGTTAAAATTCATTTTTACTAGTAGTTCCTAGTTTTTTTTCAATGGGAAAATTAATAATTAGTTGTTTGTTCAGTTCTACTGTTATCTGTCGATCATATTTGTTGTATCAACACTTACTGATTGACTTATATTTTCATTTTATTACGTGGTACTTTTTTATTGTGATAATTTAGATTAGAAATATAATTACAAAGCTATGGTATAAATAAATTACGATAATGAAATATTATCAAACTAAGCCAAGATTAATAATTACAAAATTACATCCACTAATTATTAATCATCTCCTTTACAACTATAATTTATTTTATTATAGCCTTATCAATTAATGCCAACATTACAAGAACGATTCGTATCGGCTATGAACAAAGTAAAATTATCATTTAACACACAGTCAAAGTAAGTCGTTCAAAATAACCCAAAATAAAACGATTAAACATTTTATTTTGATATCATTTTCTTTTTTTATTCGAATATTGATAATTTGATTCAAAGTAAGGTATTTTGTCATGGTAACGTAACCATATGATGTATTAGAGCGATACACTTTGAACAGTCTAAGCACATATCAACTATTTAAAGATAGTTATATGTTAAGAAACATAAAGGTCGATGAGATAACTGGAACAAATGGAACTAATGGATTGTTATGCTAATAACGCCAAACTTGAAACACTTTGTTACTTAATTTAATTTCATGATGATACAAGTTTTTTGAACAAATAATATCAAGCCTTAATATGATTACTGTTCTATGATTGCTGATTCAAATATGTTGAATTTTCTGAGTGAGCTCTATTCATTCAGCATAGAATAAGATACATAGGTGCAACTTCAAGATCGAAATAAAGTTAAAGAAGCACTGGACAACTAGGGAAACAGAAGTACAAAGGTTCAATACAGCCTTCATTCGAGACACTAGCAAACTCAACGGATTCAAGATCGCTCTCAACAACAGATTCTAAGCCTTACAGGATCTACTGAAAGAAGAGGAAACTACTATGGAAGACAACTGGAAAGGGATCAAAAAAGCACTAACTTCAACATGTCAGGATGTGCTGGGCCGCAACAAGCATCATCATAAGGAATGGATCTCTGTGGAAACCCCGGTCAAGATTCAAGAAAGAAAGAACAAGGTGACGGCGAACAAAAACAGAGAAAGTTAAGACACAAACTGAATACACAGAAGCAAACAAACAAGTGAAGAGGAGCGATAGAGACGACAAGCAGAAATGCGTAAAAGAACTGGCAACGACGGAGGAAAAAGCTGTAAGAAAAGGAAATATAAAACAACTATACGATCCAACGAAGAAATTAGCAGGGAAATATAGTAAACCAGAGAGACCGGTCAAGGACAAGGAAGGTAATACAATCACCGGAATTCAAGAACAGATGGGTAGAATACTTCGGGAAACTGTTGAATAGACCAACTCTATTGAATTCACCGGCCATCGAAGCAGCACCTACAGACCTTCCTATAGATGTCACTCCACCCACGATCGAAGAAATCATGATGACCATCAGACAAATCAAGAGTGGAGAAGCAGCAGGACCTGAAAATATACCAGCTGAAGCACTGAAGCCAGACATAGAAGTAACTGTAAAGATGCTCCACGTTCTATGCAGGAAGATTTAAGAGGAAAAAAGAATACTCATCAAGAAACCAAAGAAAGGTAATTTGAGCAAATGTGAGAACTATAGAGGCATCAAACTACTATCTGTTCCAGATAAGGTTTTCAACAGTGTTTCTAAACCGGATGGAAGATTCAGTAAACGTTTAGCTTCGAGATGAATATGCTGGATTTCATAAGAATCAGTCGTGCACAGACAGCTTAGATGCAACTCGACGATTTAGACTTCACGGATGACCTAGCTCTTCTATCCGATACACACGAACAAATACAGATGAAGACAACTAGTGTAGCAGAAGCCTCAGCACCAGTAGGCATCAACATACACAACAGAAAAGCAAGATCCTCAAGCACAACACGGAGAACACCAACTTATTCAATCTGACTTGATGAAGAAACTCTGGAAGAGGTGGAAGCTTCCAGGTACCTAACCCAGCAACATCATCGATGAACAAAGAGGATCAGATGCAGAGGTGTAGGTGAGGATTGGGAAAGCAAAGGTAACATTACTACAATTCATGAACATATAGAACTCAAGATAACTGACAACCAATATCAAAGTGAGAATCTTGAATATGAATGTCAAGACAATTCAACTAAAACTTGGAGAACTATCACAATCATCATCAAAAAGGTACAAGTATTTATAAATAATTGTCTATGTAAGATACTCAATGTCCGTTGACCGGCCACCATTATCAACATCCTATTATGAGAAAGAACGAACTAGGTTGCCTGGAAATAGCTAACTGATGGACGTTTCTACAGGCTATATATATAGCTAATTATTGACAATAGACTTACAATACTTAATGAGCGGTTTATTGGCTACACACATTTATTAAGTTTATAGTATCATAGCTTGACACAATTTATTGTAATTCGTTTAAAGAAAATCGTGTATCCAACTTTAAAATGATTGATGCATTGCTACTTGAAATCACGTCTTTCAATGTTACTTTTATTAGCAATAACGCCTTTTCATATATGTTGAATATTTCCTTCACAAATTGTAACTTACTTAAATCAATAATTATAGATTAGTAATCATTTTAAGGCTTGAGATTATATGCTGACGAAACTTACATCATCATGACAGTATTTCAAGCTTAGCATAATCAGTTAGTTTTTTCTGTTTTCTTGCATTATTCTTAATTCTATAAACTTATTTGATAAATAAATATCTTGTTAAAACTATCTATATTATCTGACTATGTATTTGGAATAGATTACATAAATAATTGGTCGTTTTTATTCATTATACCATGACTACATTTCATTGTTTCTCTAATCTTCCGTTACAGTACAAGTGAATTCAGTATTTTGAGGGATTTATATATGAAAATAATAGAATGGACCTATATTCTAACAACAACTAGTCACTTTATTTATTATTCCTACTACCGATAAATAAATAAACAGATCAATATGTATATGCTGTATAAAATCCTAAATTTGTTTTCTTTCAAACACATAGTTGATCAAGACTAAAGTTTTAAAACAAATAATCTTGACTTGAAGTTTTAAAATGAGCTTTCCTATAAAATTATTACTGGTTATTTCTTGTCACTGTTTATATCAATGTTTGTGGATTGAATAATGTGATATGTAGTTTGTTAAAATAATCTTCCCTTTTTATTATTACTATTGGTTTATATTATTGGCTTCCAAGTAGAATGAGAAATTGGTCGATTAGAATTCTTACTATAAATTAAATTTGTTTTCATATCATGTTACCGAAGTTAAAAAGAAAAACGAACAATTGAATTTGTTCAAATCGGTACTCTTTGAGGTCACGTAATTTTTGTATCAGTACAATATAATGCATATTTTGACACTGTTCTATTGTTCCATAGATTGTATTTTAGCTTAGAAGCGTGATTACTAAACTCCACGTCTAAGTTAGCGTGATATCAATTAACTTAAGTTTAATAATGACAATTTACTTTTTTAAAAAATAGAAAAGTTTGATTTACGTTAGGTTGGTTTAACAATTGATAAGTTTATCTCAATTTATAATACTAAACAAAGATATTATAGAGACGTAATTTATGATTTGGAAAAGTATACAAACACGTCTGTATTGTATTGTTTCAACCTATACTCTTTTATTTCGTTAATTGAGAAACGCTTGAATCACAAGAAACTAAGATCAATTAAAAGCATCATTGAGTTCGAATCGGCAAGTAGTAACACTTATCCTTTCGCATTACATCAACGTGTATTCAGCTTTGTATCATTATTGTGTACGGGAATTTGTGAGATACGGACTACTTGTTTGATTAAAGTAAAAGTAAGTAGGTGAAGCGAAGCTTGAGTTTGTTACATAATTTAAGGCAAAAAATGAGTGGTTCAGTCAGTTTCATTCATGATGCCATGTTTGTTTGTTAGTTCAAACGTTAGATAATTTTAGTCAAAAGGAATAGACTTTTTTGGAGTAAACAAGGAAATAAAAGTTTGAAATATAGTCCAAAGCTTACTTTCAATAGTACTAAGAAAAGACAGTTAATATGGAGAATGTAATGTTTTCAAGCTATACAAATATCTTAGTGGCATACATACCTTTCAAGGTATTTGTATGTAATGAGAGTCGCGCAAATAAAAGGTCAAATATAAAGTGATAATTTAGGAACAAGTAGTGAAAGAAATAATATATCATGAAAAGAATGAGGAGTTACTACATTATTCTAGACGGATTCATAGTTGGAATAAATTGTTTCTGTACATATTAATGGGACTTGAGTTTCTTAAAGATCAAGGTTTCCGTCCTTGACAATTTTCGTATAAATTCTTGAAAGATGTGTCGCGGTAAAATCCCATGACTTGCTTCAATAATGTTATTTGTTATCAACTAGTATTATTTTCTCCGCGTATTTGTCGGAGAATTTGGTGATAACTGGTTGTGAAGTCATACGGGTACAAGTTCTATCACCCCAGTTGCTGCTCACAACGTATATGTTTTAACACACGCATATGGAGTTATAAATCTAGTGGGTTGTAATGTAATTATTTATGAGATGTTGAGGCTTATATGTAATAATAGGTTCAGTTTTCTCAATGACAATCAGTACAACATGTTTTTACATACTTAGTTTCATATTCCATCATATTGTTTACTGATGTTTGGTATATGCATACAAAGTAATTATTGAATTTTTTTTGGAAAATACTTTTTAAGTTCTGCAAAAACTGTAAGGGATTTTGTTTATTTACCGTTTTCTTTTTTACAAAATAAGCATTTATATTTGCGTTAGATTCGGTTCGACTAAGTAAATATCATTTACTCACCATTACAAAATTACTAAAATGCTTAGTAATTACATCATTCGACTTACAATAAATTAAACTGCAGGTCCAAATTTCAGTTTGAATAGTCGTATACTGTCATTAAGCCTTATACTATAAATATTTAAACTCGAAACTGAATACTATAATCTGTACTGCATTGCTGAGTCACATTCAATTTCAGATTTAGTAAAATTGTAATTTGTTAGTGAATAATAGAATTTTTCACTGTAAGTACTTATTATTTCGAGGAATGTTTTCAGCAAATCACTTATTAAAACAATTTGTACGTGAATTCTCTTTCATTCTATAATTAAAACATTAAATCACGGTTTATAGAAAATGACCTAACTATTGTCATTGATTTTTGTGAAACCATTTAGTGATTATATAATATGAATACTGAATCGAAATAAGGTCATTTACATATATACCAAGCTTCTGTTTATAACAAATTGTTTGTATTTTGAAATTTCTACTACAGTCTTCAGTTGTTTTATGTTGAATTCTGTAACTGAAACACCATATTTATTGGTCTGTTTATTGTCAATCTTATTGTTTAGGACAAATTAAAAAGCAATATTTAATCATCATATGACTGACTATATTTTAGGTCTATAGACTACATTATATTTCTATTTAACTCGATTTTATAAAAACAATACAATGATTATCACCTAGCTTCATTGTACTTATACTGTTCATTAAAGCTTTACATGTATGCAATATGTATATAATATGAATCAAGTTTTATTTCACTAAAAAACTTTCATGATGATGGATAACTAAATATAAAAAACAAGTGCTATTTTCTGTTGAACCATTATTCATTCCTCAAGAGTTTAGATCCACAATCCAGTTGATTTCAATTTATGACAGAAACTAACTTTATCTCCAATTATATTTCAATAAATCCTTTAACCAAACACTGATTATGCACTGATTAGTAATCGACCTGGTGACGAATTCTGGGAATTGTAGCGAGAATCGGTAACTGGCTATGTTCAACGATGTCCAAACTAAAGCAATTATTCACTAATGAGATTGAATAATTGTCGGGTTATATCATGAATCGATCTAGTGTAAAATATGAATTGATAGATCTTAACTCGGTAGTGTAAATGCTCAGTTGTTAGCTATCACGGTTGCTCAGGTCTTGGGTGGCCAATGTTGAAGAATTTCCTAGTTCTCCGTCAGTCTATGACAAAAAATAATACAAAATAATCTCTCGAAACACTGCAGTAAAACGGTAAATTGGTTTCAATGTGACCAATCAAGGATCGAGGAGTCAAAAATATCACTATGGTTTAAGGATATTGTTGTAAAGAAAATGGTCACGGATAGAAGTGTATATGGTTATTGAATGAGCATCATACGCATCTGCAAGCAAAACTAGACAAAATTTCATATTACCTATTAAAAAAACGTCATAGCTTTGATTTCTGACATATGTTTATTATAACATATATGATTGAAAGTTTTATATTTTACATTTTCTAGCCTAATTAATTGTCCCATTCCGATAATCATATTACACGCTGAAGATGATGCTGTTGTACCATTCACTTTAGGAAAAAAGGTAATCATTATAACAATTGTATTTGATAAAGTACTTAACGAGTTCATATTTATTTATTGATTTTCGGAAAAGAAAAAAAATTATGTTGAATAATTACACTGGGTTTTAATTGTGTTTACTCGAGTGTTGTTAATCACTCAATGTATGTATTTTTTTGTCGAAATCATTCATTAACGAAATTTATTAGTTCTGATTTTGAGATTTGATGAAAGATTAAGGGAGGGTTGAATAAATATGATCGAAGGTCTTATGACTCGATGTTATTGGTTCTTTTATCATCATGAAAAGTTTTCATTAGTTATTTTACCATTGTAGAGCATGAATTTAGTCTGTTATGTCTAAGCTTTTATCTGTCATTTTAATTCACGAATTAAAGAAATCTCTCAAAAATAGTATCTGTAAAAAACAACTTAAATTCCACCTAATATCTGATTGTAATGTTTTAATTATTATTCAATAAAAAATAATGTGGTTGACAGTGTTGATATTATGGATTTATAATATAAATATTTCACACTATATTGTACGAAAAAACTCCGCCTGTAGCTCTTCCAGAGTTACTGCCGGTCCCAAGCCCGGGTAAAGGAGGAGGGTTGGGCATGGGGTTAGCGTCCCCATCCCGTAGAAACCTAACTCGCTAAAAAAACGCTAACCAGAAAAAACAACTCAAACCATTTAAACTCTGCCCTGGGAGTTAGAGGTAATATGACGCTTCATGGTGAAAGCCGAGTTACTTCGGAAGCCACGAGGCCGATGCCCCTTCTAACAACCAGAGCAACAATTTTTATAGGTACATGGAACGTCCGGACAATGTGGGAGAACCGGAAGACCAGTCAAATAGCAACGGAAATGAGGAGATACAACTTGGCAGTACTGGGAATCAGTGAAACCCATTGGACCCAAGCTGGACAACAAAGGCTAAATACGGGAGAGATGCTGCTATACTCCGGTCACGAAGAGGAAAATGCTCCACACACTCAGGGAGTTGCTCTAATGCTATCCAAAGTAGCACGAAATGCACTTGTAGGATGGGAATCTCACGGATCTAGAATCATCAAAGCATCATTCAAAACAAAGAAGGAGGGGATCACAATGAACATTATCCAATGTTATGCACCCACCAATGATAGCAACGACGACGTTAAAGATCAATTCTATGAGAGGCTGCAATCAATCATAGAGAAGTGCCCAAGAAAGGACCTCACCATTCTGATGGGAGATCTAAACGTCAAAGTCGGAATGGACAACACCGGATATGAAGACATCATGGGACTACATGGACCGGGAGAGAGAAACGAAAACGGGAAAGATTTGCAAATCTGTGTGCATTCAATAAATTGGTCATAGGCGGTACAACATTTCCACACAAACGTATACACAAAGCTACGTGGGTCTCACCGGACCACACCACAGAGAATCAGATAGATCACATTTGCATCAATAAAAAGTTCCGAAGGACAATGGAAGATGTGAAAACCAGGAGAGGAGCGGACATAGCTTCAGATCATCACCTGGTTGTAGCCAAACTGAAACTGAAGCTAAAGAAGAACTGGACAACTGGACAAACAGCACCACAAAGGTTCAATACAGCCTTCCTTCGAGATACTGACAAACTCAATGAATTCAAGGTAGCTCTCAACAACAGGTTCCAAGCCTTACAGGATCTACTGAAGGAAGAAGAAACTACTATGGAGGATAGCTGGAAAGGTATCAAAGAAACATTACCTTCAACGTGTCAAGAGGTTCTGGGCCCCAAGAAGCATCATCGCAAGGAATGGATCTCTACAGAAACACTGGACAGGATCAAAGAAAGAAAGAACAAGAAGACAGCAATTAACGACAGTCGAACAAGAGCAGAGAAAGTCCAAGCACAAGCAGAGTACATAGAAGCAAACAAGAAAGTGAAGAAGTGCATTAGAGCTGACAAGCAAAAATACGTGGAAGAACTAGCAACGACGGCGGAAAAAGCTGCAAGAGAAGGAAATATGAGACAGCTTTACGATACGACGAAGAAGCTTGCAGGGAAATACAGTAAACCAGAGAGACCAGTCAAAGACAAAGAAGGAAGACCAATCACTGAGATTCAACAACAGCGGAACAGATGGGCAGAGTACTTCGAGGAACTCCTGAACAGGCCGGCTCCAATTAATCCACCGGACATCGAAGCAGCACACACGGATCTTCCCATAGATGTCAATCCACCAACGACAGAAGAAATCAGAATGGCCGTCAGACAAATCAAGAGCGGGAAAGCAGCAGGACCTGACAATATACCAGCTGAAGCACTGAAGTCAGACATCGAAGTAACTACAAGCATGCTTCATCTTCTATTCAAGAAGATTTGGGAGGAGGAACAAGTGCCGATGGATTGGAAAGAAGGACACCTCATCAAGATTCCAAAGAAAGGAGATCTGAGCAAGTGTGAAAACTACAGAGGCATTACACTACTGTCAATACCGGGTAAAGTCTTCAACAGAGTGTTACTGAACAGGATGAAAGACGCAGTTGACGCTCAACTTCGAGATCAGCAAGCTGGATTCCGTAAGGACCGGTCGTGCACAGACCAGATTGCGACACTACGGATCATCGTCGAACAATCAATTGAGTGGAACTCGTCACTCTACATCAACTTCATTGATTATGAGAAGGCATTTGACAGTGTAGATAGGAGAACGTTATGGAAACTTCTTCGACACTACGGAGTTCCTGAGAAGATTGTCAACATTATCCGGAACTCATACGATGGACTACAGTGCAAAGTAGTGCATGGAGGACAGCTGACAGACGCATTCCAAGTAAGGACCGGAGTAAGACAAGGCTGTCTACTCTCTCCCTTCCTGTTTCTTCTGGTGGTCGACTGGATTATGAAGACCTCGACATCTGAGGGAAACTACGGCATACGATGGACAGCTCAGAACCAATTAGACGACTTGGACTTCGCAGATGACCTAGCCCTCCTATCACATACACACGAACAAATGCAGATAAAGACAGCCAGCATAGCAGCAGTCTCTGCATCAGTAGGCCTCAACATACACAAAGGGAAAACCAAGGTCCTCAAACACAACACGGAGAACAGCAATCCAATCACACTTGATGGCGAAACTCTGGAAGACGTGGAATCCTTCACATACCTGGGAAGCATCGTCGATAAACAAGGAGGTTCAGATGCAGACGTCAAGGCGAGGATTGGCAAAGCTAGAGCGGCATTCCTTCAACTGAAGAACATATGGAACTCAAAACAACTCTCAACCAATATCAAAGTCACAATCTTCAGTACGAACGTCAAGGCAGTTCTACTGTACGGAGATGAAACTTGGAGAACTACAACAACCACCATCAAGAAGGTACAGGTATTTATTAATAGCTGTCTACGCATGATACTCAACATCCATTCGCCGGATACCATCAGCAACAGCCTTCTGTGGGAGAGAACCAACCAGCTTCCAGCTGAAGAGGAAATTAAGAAAAGACGATGGAAATGGATAGGACATACATTACGTAAATCATCAAACTGCATTACGAGACAAGCGCTAACTTGGAATCCTGAAGGGAAGCGGAAAAGAGGAAGGCCAAAGAACACATTACGTCGGGAAATAGAAGCAGATATGAAAAAGATGAATAAGAACTGGAAAGAGCTTGAAAGGATTGCCCAGGACTGGGTTGGATGGAGAATGCTGGTGAGCGGCCTATGCTCCTTCACGAGGAGTAACAGGCGTAAGTAAGTAAGTAGTAAGTAATATTGTACGAAAAGAATATGCTCGACAAGGTGGAATTTATGTATTGTAAATAGAAAAAAGTGGAAAAAATCGTTTGATCAATAAGGAAATAAATATAGTAATAAATAAATCATATGGTTCAATAAATACTACATTCGAGACAGGGTTCACTTTATACATGCGAAGAATTTACTAGAAAACTACAGAAAGAATTCCCCCAGCTTCAGTTCTGAGCTATGTCTAATAACATCTCATACTATTGAGATTGACGATCTCTTAGGTTACAATTGGAAAGTTTTAACTGACTCACAGATGCTAGTCCTACATAAATTTCTTACCATGGCTTTATGTCGTTCACTGCCTATCTTCAGGCTTTTTCTGATCATTTCTGGTTTCAGCACATTATGTACCATTAATTTGGTATCAAGATTATTCTACTCCCTACCAGATAAACCCTTCATGTACACCAATCCACTGTAAACACTAGAAATCCATTTTTATCCTTTTATATTTGCAGTAACATCTATCTTGTGTGAGCCAGAGGTAGTGTTTGCCGTGAACAAACAATAAACACTCCATCGTTTGACAACATTTCATGAGTGGAAGAGAACTCTTTACACCCTCGATTTTACTAAGGAATTTGAGGGAATTTAAAATAACTACCACTGGGAAATCAGGTAAACATTGTTTCAAGAATTTGTGAAATAAAATCAGTCACTAAAGGAAAACAACGTTTCTGTTGCCATATTCAGCTGAATTTCCAGGGCTAAATATTTTGAAAGTATTGATAATTCTCTTTATCATAACAGTTCTTTATTGATATTGACTTGAATCTTTCTGTGTTGAACTATTATTTTTATGAATAATAACAAATAACTGTAGCTCGCTGAAATTCTTTCAACTAATGGTACTTCAGTATTCTTCAAGCCGTACGAAGGCAAACTCGGTTACCGACATAATTTTATTCACACAGCACCAGATCTTCCGGATATTATTACGTAAGTACTTTAGTGGACGAAAACTCAGGTGGGAACAACCAATTTATCATTTAATGCAAAATTACAGAGTTCTTTCGTAAAATGTGAATAACCATACATTAAATGCCTCATTTGCAAATCTTCCATAAATTGTCTCAAACTTCATCGTTCCTTCATTATTATTACAATTACTCTCCTTTTACATCCCCGTTCTCCTCAATTCTATCCTCGCAACCTTCTGCTGCCAGACATTCCACTTTTGATTGGTGTAATATACTACTTATGTCTGTCAACATAAGTAGCATTCACCACATTACTAGCGGTTTTTACTATATTAGGAATTAATATATTTAACTTGGAACAACTTGAATTAAGATATAGAGTACAGCATGCCTGATATATGAAATAACACCATTTGATCAGTTCATTTAACACGTATCTTAACAGAATTAATTTCTTTTGCTGATAACTGAAGCGTTTAGTTCTCAAAATGAAGTTGCCTATAGGTTCATTGTTAATATCAGAATAAGCCACGCAATAAACTAATAATTTATACACACATAATATTTTAGTCAAGGAATAATGACAGTACTGGATTTTGCAAGTAATATTTGACAGGTAGAAGAATTTCCAAACAAGTGGAACCGAAAACACCGATGATCAAATCCCTGTCAACTTCCAAAAAAATACATGTTAATGCCAACGTAAATATATTGATGCAAACTATAAACAGAAGTAAAGTTTCGGATTTAAAATGATGCATTTTTCTTAGGTTTGTCAAATAAAGTTAGGTACGGTCGGTTTTAATTATTGAAAGAACTAGTGAGATATCTAGTTCAATTTCCAAAGACATGTTTCAGATGAACTATCAATAGTTACAGTGAAGTGTTTAAGTATTTGGAATTCGGGAAGCCACTTTTTTAGGCGCTTGATTTGATAACTTTAATTTCATCTTATCATATCCAATTTCAAAAGAAAAAACGCAGTTATTGTCCCTTTAGTATAATACTCACGCATCTCCAACTATGAAATCGTATATATTGTTTCACAATAATCTAGCTATTTCATTTAATTCTCCGTAATTTTCATACCTTATATATCAATCGCACAATTGAAAAAGCGAAAATATTTTTCCTAAAAGGTAGACTGTACACATTTCGTTCGAACTGCAATCGATAATTACATGTAAACTTTGGGAAATTTCGAATAACCTTTCAAAATAACTACGGTTTGGGTAAATCATGGCATACAACTTTCCACTATCCAACAACTACTTTCTACTTGAATAATGTTCTCACCAGGTTACATTAAGATCCGTCAGGTTTGTTTCAAAAATTTCGAAAGTCACATAGTTAAACATCAAAACTCACAATGGGAAAGCTTAAATGAACTCAAGATTACATTTCAAACATCTCCCGAGTCGCAGCTGGAAAGATTTTTTATTTAAATCATCTGCTTATGAAGTGTACTAGCGACTGTTTGCTTTTGAAAAACATTAGCTGAAGTCCCAAACTAAGAGATTCTATTCCTCGGAATATGATATGTCATAACTGCTCTCTCCCAACTCTTAGGAATTACTTTATTTGTTCGTAATGAGAAGTCTTACTCAACTAAATTCATCAACTGTCATAGAGGATACACTTTATAAATGTTCTGTAACTCATCGTCAAGCGTAGTTTATGTGTGAAACTTTGAAATTTTTGAAATGTTTTGACTTTACAACACTGCTAGTGTATCAGTGAATCACTGAATAAGTAATTTTAGGGGTGGATACAATGATATAGACAGCCGAATCAAACACTACTGAATTTGTGAAGTTGAACCAACTCGGTTAAAAATATTCGTACATTTTTGAAATGCTTTTTAATTTTCCGCATTGTTTCTACGTGGAGTAATGGTTATATTGAAATATGTTTGACACAAGGCTTATTACAATATAATAATAATGATTCCAGTTATCTTTCAAATGACAACTATTTATGTATTTTAAAGAAAATATTTTTCCAATAGAATATTTCTCTCTTTTGCTAAATAATCCTTTAAAGATGTTTTCTTTTATCTTATTCCGTAATATTAGATCATTTGTTCAATCCACATTGTCTGGAAGTTTAAATGCATTAGAGGATTTAATAATTTGAATTTGATGGTGTAAATTAGATAACTAAATATTGGAATATATTCTATTTTCAATATCTCTGTGCTGCATACTAGATATCAGCTGATCTGATTTTATGACAAAAATCATATTATTACATTCTGTCAAATTATTACATCGTTTTACAATTTGTTTTAGTTGTGTGTTATTTTTTGTTTTTAATAAACCTATTTTTATTGGCTTATTTTATAAGTTTTTTTATTTTTACTTTCGACTCAACATTATATATTACATCATTATTTTTTCTGTCTTAATATGTCAGATTGCTTATTTCTTATCTCATTATAGTTCTATTTATTCTTATTATGTTTTCATCATCCAGGGAAATTGTGCCGTTAAAGTTAACATTCAGAAATGTATTATGTGTAAATTACATTCATCCTAATATATATTGTGTTTTAAATTTAAAACTATAATATGGACAATATATGAAAAGATGTTAAAATGAATATAGCCCTATCTAAATACATATCGTTTTAATACCATTGATTAATACCTAATTAATTGATTATCTTTTTTAGTTTTGAGTAGAACTATTTCATCTGAATACTGTAAATAAGCTGTCATAAGTGACTTTATTTATATCCGAAAGGCATCGCTCAACGACTGGTGTCTGATAATTTGAAGGTATTCAAATGGCATTAGGACTAATATATGAAAATATGCTTGACCAGATGTTATTCAGAGGTCAGCTTCTGTGTTGGTTGATAAGAAAATTCACTCAGGCGAGAGAACTTTGTTGAAGTCAACTCAAGCAGTTGTTAAGAATAGTTTCTTACTAAAGCTGTGACTCAGTACTATTACTTACCTTACATATCATTTTTTCCTTTTGAGTGCTAACTAATCATATTTCTATTAGCATATTGGGATAATTTGCTGTTGTGTTTGCGCGATTACTTCCATGGAAATAAAGTCCAGACTACCAAATCAACGGAGATTCTGGTTGCTCTTGGTTGCATCAAAATATAAGTTGGTTACCTCAAACATTTTGAAACTTAAACTAGATGAACTGGGGCGTTAAGTTGTCATGACATCTGGAATCTCTCTCGGAGTTTGACTTCTAAAACCGTAGAATGTTTCATAGTGTATTTAAGCGAGTTTTATTGTTTTTAACTCAATCTCAAACGTCTTCCTGGAGCTTAATTCGAACATACAACTAAAGCTGTGTATATGTAAGTGTAAAACAACCATTTTGTCAGTAAATCATAACGGTGGTGGAAATTACACATTTGATAATAAATAATAGTTAATATTAAGATAACAAGTGTAGTAGCGGAATTTCTCAAGCATTATAGAAATACTATCATAAAATATCAAAAAATATTTCAGCATTTGACGTAGGTCGAAACGAGGGATAAATTTTATTGAGAATAACAGTCATTTAAGGGATGGCTGTGTGGTGAGTCAGTGTATGTATATATGTGTTAACCTAATGTGAATTTTAAAGCACCTGTTCTTATGACGTCTATCGATTCTACATCACATTTGTTACTGTATTACCGATCCCTTATCAATTGCATAATACGGAACACACTTATCAAACTGCCTTAATGTGATGTTTTACTTATATACATGCAAATATTGCAATATGTTAGTTACTAGGTATCAATACCAAGGTTGAACTAGATAGTTTCAAATGAATTGACTGTTGGGTAGGGAGTTAATAGTAAATATATTCTTGTTATATCACAGTGAGTCGAAAAGTTGCATTTCTAACGTTTCGTGATTTAATGTGAGCCACCTCTTCAGGGTGAATGAATAACTAAAACTAAATAGTAATATTCAAGCTTGTGTTAGTCTAATTCGGTTATTTATTTACTCTGAAGAAGTTGGTCTACGTTAAATCGCGAAATGTCAGAAATACAATGTTTCTATTCATGGAGATATAATAAAAGCATATTTAAAACAGTTAGTCCCTTTGATAAATTTCGATAATGCAATGGGAAGACGAAGTTTATCAGAATTATGTGATATATTAGCGCAATACATTTCGAACAATCTGATCACACATATACTTGTTAAGAGCATTTATATATAAAAATAAAAGGTCAACTAGACAGGTTAAGGGTAAGTCATAACAAAGGAAAAAATATTAAAGTACACAAAACAAATGTGATTACCACTCTGGATAATAAATAATGTATTGCGCTAATATATCACATAACTCTGATAAACTTCGTCTTCTCATTGCATTATCGAAAAGCATATTTATTATATTAAAGTTACGTCTGAAGATTTAGTTTAAGGTAATTATTTTTTTATATTCTGTGTTCTTATTCACGCATTGGAGATGCTTACATTTTCAACTGTCGTGACGTGTTTGGGGTCAGATGAGATGGCCTCTAACTTCATTATATGAAAGAAATAATAGTCCATTATTTGATCTGTAAGTCGTAAAAGAGATCAAATTTCGAAGCAAAGAGAAATGTATCGGTTTTAGTCATTATACTTCAATTTAAGAGAAAATCAACAAGAAATCGGAAAAATATGAAATCTTGTCGGACAAATGAATATTGAATAGTTAAGTGTTAATTAATTAATAAAATTGAAGTGCTGAATGGCTATGCGACATTAGATGGTCTTGAGATATACCAGTCAGCATATTTAACTTATATATGGAGTAACTCTATACTTACACAGCTGTTCACAATGAGAACCCTTAGGGAATTGATTTCCGCCTGACATTTAACTATAATAAAAGCAACATGGTTATGTAGGTGGTAGGACGGCATTACTAACAACTGGTCACAACTAAGTTTGTGAATGGTTAAAACCAGAATAAATGATTTACATTCCTCACCTAAAACTTCACATTTAACTTCATCTTTGGTAACCCGATAGTCTAGTCACTGCTACACGATTTTCTGTACATACCTTTTGTCAAACACGACCTTACCATACTATTCAATCTCTTTGTCTGGTCCTCATAGAAAGTACTCAAAACCCACCATAGTATTGTACAGTTTCTTTAGATAAACTTTTGTGTTCACACGATTACCTTTCTCATCCTACATTATCTGTATTTATTCTAATTATTAGTCTCACAATTTCAATAGACCTATGAACTAACTCAAATTAATGTTACACATTCGTCATTTAAATACTAATCAGTCTATCTTTTTTTATCAATCATATCATAATTTCAGTTGACCATTCAACCGATTGATGTAAACAGTTCGCACTAGAACTTTCAACAAACATTGGCAAATTACCTTATTTCTCCAACAATCTTAGATTTAATTAATTAGTTAATTTTAATCAAGTAATGTAATTGACTTAAATTTAGCTGTCTATTTTGGAACATTAATTCAGATTTAGAATTGTAGAACCAGCTGACTAATGATTATAAAGAGTATTCTTCATTCACAAAACTATGCTTTTAATATGATAGGAATTTCTCAATGATTAAATTAATTATCAATGTTAACTAAATGAGTGGAAAGTTACTCTTTTACAATGTTCAGATCACAAAAGAGTTTAAAATTCCTTCAGAAATGCTTCAAAAACATGATTTATGTTAAAGAGTAGAACAGATTGAATGATTCATAACTGAATCCAATGTAGTTCTGGTTACAAAGTAAACATACTAAAAAGTGTAAATTGTATTTCCAGTAAATATCACATTATATTTACAATATTCGACAACATACTGATTATCTGCATCTAAACATCACATTATAAAATGTTAATATTAATTTACATCTTATAGATAACCAATTTTATGACCAGTTGGATTTCGTTTATAAACACCTACTATGAGATTTTGATTTATTATATAATTTAGTCATATGAATAATTAATCAATAATAAGTTATTATCTATCACTTATGATTATAAATATCAATTTTGGAACTATTTATTTAGTGAATTACACTAATACTGTTTGTAATGTGTGTTTATTTACCTTGTGTAACTCTGTTTATTTTTGATAATACTATTCTAAATGTGTTATGTTTACTTTTTGGACATGAATGAAGTTTTAATTTAAAATTGTATACCTTCAAACTATAATTGTCTTGAGAGCTGAAATATGGATAAATAAACTTGAAATCATGAGTCAATTGAAGCTAAACCACCATGGAAAATCTGGAGGCACCGGATGGCCGTTTCGTCCTAGTATGGGACTCCTCAGCAGTGCGCATCCACGATCCCAACCCCGGGCAGTGCTTCCAGGTTTTCCATGACGGTTTAGCTTCAATTGACTCATGATTTCAACTAATGAAATTTCTAAAATCTCCACAAAAACCCTTTCTGAAAATAACTATGAATCATCATTTTCAGGTACCAAGTATAACCCAGACGGAAAAAAGAACACTGGAAAGTATATTTTTCTTGTAAATATCAAACTATTATAATCGGTTTTAGTGCGAATTTTAAAATTATTTTACCAGAATGATAAAGGACTTACAATTGGTCCTTTCCAATACAAGTCAGTTCTTATAAATGTAATTCAAACGATATAAACTTATTGGAGATTATAGACATTTCGTTTATGAACTAATATAAGGTAGTTTTAAAATTAATTTTCTAATTTTCAGCCTTATAGATTCACTATAAAAATCTTTATATGGGAAACATTGTAGCGATTCATTGAATTATTTTTTCTGGTTAGAGTTTTTTAGGGAGTTAGTTTTCTGCGGGATAGGGTCGCTAGTCCCATGCCCAACCCTCTTCCTTTACCCGGGCTTGGAACCGGCAGGAACTGTAGAAGAGCTACAGGCGGTTCAAAGCAATTCATAGACTCTTTATTATGTATCATCTATGCTGATAATACTTAGCTTGTTTAAATTTTATCTCATTATTAATTTAGGTGATTTAATTCATCCTAAATATAAAATCTGATTTAACAAATTTTTATGAGTACCAAAATGAAATTAAATCAATTACATTAAACTGCATGTTTCAGTTTCACGTGAATTATAATTGGCTTGATTCTATCTGTCTTGTGAGACGTTTTCTTTTTGTTATTCATACCATATTCATAACATGTGATTATAATTGTTAAAATTCAAGTCTTTATATAGAATGAAAATTATTTTTGGGCCATAATTACAAAGAATATGGTATATTTATCACATAAATGGAGAGAAAAGAGTTTTTGTCAAGTAGTTAAGCTCCATGCCAAAATTGGAATATAAGATGTAAAAACAAGTAAACTGTTTCGAAATTTAGCCTGGAATAGTAACAATGGAATAATTCAATCCATTACTGATAATAATGTGGAATCAGGAGTTTAGCTAATAACACTTTGTTATTTGCAGTAGTCGGTATTGGATTCGAATCCAAATGTGAAATTTTCAGTTTGAGGTGTGAAGTTTGTTGAATTTCATTGAAATCATAAACCGATCAATGGTGGTCTAACATTGATTGGTTCATAATTTCAATAAAACTCGACCGAATGTGAACATTGATATTAAGATGTAGATGTATATAACTGACGAAACCCGTATTGTAAGCAACGTGTGTCCTTGATTATACTGTGGTGTGTGCTACTTATGTAGACATAAGTAGTATATGACGTGAGTACTGAACAGAATGTCTGGTAGCAGAGAGACGAGAAGATCGGGCAATAAAGAATGAAGAAAGAATGCAATTTGTATGAAAATGCAAGAACAAAGGGATTCTGAGTCATTTGAGACAATTGGTCAACAATTTGCAAATTAACGATTTAATATATGGTTGTTGGATTTTACTAACTAGTTCTGTAATTTGTTGTTGAATATATCCAATTGTCCCCACTCGTGTTCTATTTACTACAATACTACTAATGAAACCCCATCTACACTGTTGAAGCAAAGTTTACTTAAAACAAATGTAGTACTTGTAATTTCATAACCCATGATCATTTTAAAGCATTTGACAAA